TCTCTCTCTCTCTCTCTCTCTTTGACTCTTTTTTTTTTCTTTTTTTTCTGTGTGACTGGATGTGTGCGCTTCCATTGATGAAGGATATTATTTTTATTACCAATATACATATATTCTGTTTAACAATAGTGTGGAAGTTGTACTCTTTGTTTCGTTTTTTTACTCATTCCATCCTTCTCTACTCCGGACTATTTCTATCCTCAGAGATGCTGCGGAATACATACTGCTTCTCCTATGAGGAACGTGAAAAACCGCCTCCCTACAGTGGCCTTGTGAACCAAGGAAGCACATGTTATCTAAATGCCGTTATTCAAGTTCTCTATCATTTGCCGGCTTTTCGCTACAGCATTTACTCCATTGAAGAACCTGAGAAGCACTCTATCACTTTGGCATTACGAAATATATTTTCTCAATTAAACTGTTCATATTCTTTTATTTCTACAAAAGATTTGACAGACGCATTCGGTTGGGAGGACAAGGAGGCATATATACAGCAGGATGTGCATGAAATGATGCAAAAACTTTTCCAAATCTTAGAACGTGTATGTAAGAATACACCTCAAGAAAATTTTATTCGTGATCTTTTCTATGGTGAAATAACATATATCACACGTACAGTTGATGGGGTGGATCACACTACATATCACAAAGAAGGTTTTTACGATATCGAGTTGTCTGTAAAGGACAAGAATTCAATCTATGATTCCCTTGATCAATGGATACAACCTGAACGTATGGAAAATGTATCATTAGAAATTGAAAAAGGTAAGCCTAGTAGTGTACATGTAGTTGAAAGAAAACAATTTTTTTCACGGCTTCCACCTGTTTTATTGGTTCACCCCAATCGTGTTTGTTTCTCTACAGAAACTTGTGAAGTGTTGATGTTGGAAAACAAGTGGACCTTTTCAAATTCTTTAAATCTTGAATCATACATTTTTTCGGAAGGTGGTGATAATGTGAAAGATGTGAAAAATTTGGGAACTAAATATGAATTACGTTCTGTTATTATTCATCAAGGAGGTGCCCATAGTGGACATTATCTTTCTTATGTTCACATTGGAGAAGAATGGATTTGTTTTAATGATAACTCTGTTTCTAGAGTAAATGAGAAGATTGTTATGCAGGCGGCCTATGGTGGAAAACGTGGTTACCTAAGCGGCTTTTCAAATGAGCGAGCATCACTTCTTATGTATGTTAATAAAAAAAAATCTGATGAAATTTTAAAAGAGAAACCTATTCCTAAGCATTTAAAAGATGTTGCAGAGAATATTAATGAGCTTAATAAACGCAAATGGGATGAAGCATATACTAAAAAAGAATATTATTACCTTAAAGATGGAGAAAGACTCATTCATGTATTAGATGGTTACGCAAATAGAGGATTAAAATCGTCACTATTTTCTTCTCTATGTACTTCATCTATACAAGATCTGTATAATACTATTGCTGCAGAAATAAATCAAACTGCTGATAAATTTCGTATTTGGGTTTACCCTGAGATTCCCATTATGAAAAGTGGTTGTGGTATTCTTAAAGATATTACAAGTATAAAATTCTTTTTTTTTGTAGAAAGTTTACCGAAACCAAAGGAGGAAATAGAGGCACTTTCTAAGGACTATTTCTTTGCACCTGTTCGCCTTGTTTACGAAGACACTTTACGTTTTTATGGTATTGTCCACAGTAGAGAAGAACTAAAAGAACTTATGATGGAAAATAAGGAAAAAATGAAGTGTTTTATGTGTACTTTTCCTCCTACTGTATATGAGGTATCTGTTGATGAGGTTTTGATAGGTAGTAATCTTATTCTATGTCCTGAATCCGTGTCGAATAAAAGTTTGCTGTATATTTTACAACGTCTTTTATACAATGAAGTTCATTTGTTTTTGCTTGAAAATAAAAATGCAAACAGTTGGAAACCTTTTGGTAGTTTTCAACTTGATAATAATACTTCGTATGAGGATCTTCAAAAAGAAGCCTTTCGACTTCTATCTCTTGCTGGTTTACATCTTCCACCTTCACCGGAGTATATTGGATTTCACTCTCAAATTTCTTCTGATAGTGCAGTACCTTCTCTTTCTATTGCTCCACCTATTTCTGATAATGGTTGTACAAGTACACTTGGCTCCATATTGGCTCACCAAAATGAGATGGGATGTTTATATGTACAGATACTCCCACTTCCTTTATCCTTGTTGGATGTTTTACGTGTAGTAATATTTAATGTTGGAGGTGGATTTAGACCTTTGGTCTTTATTGAGAAGAAAAACTACACATTGGGTGAATTGTTTCGTATTACGTTAGATCAATATGGCTCATATCTTTCTCCTGAACTTGTGCAACGCATCACACGAAGCCTTCAAGAAAATATTCCAGCACTTCGTCTCCTTTCATATGAGGAAATGTTACATCTTAATGTACAAGTAAATAACGAGGAAAGGATACCGCTAACTCCTGGTTATTACATAATTGATGTGTTGGTGGAAGTTAAGGAAGGATTTTCTCTCATAGATGTATTGTTTTGTTCTCGTAGAAAAAAAGAGGACTATTTTGGATTTCCAACCAATATTCCCATATCTAATACATATGAGGAAACAGGGGAAGAAATTGCCCGACGAGTGGCAGATAAAATTAAGGCTACTGAGGAAGTCGCTGATATTACCCTTTGGATTGTCGCCATACGAGAACAAAAAGGGTTTTATCACACTATTGGGAGTAAAGATTCATTGAAGAGTGTAATAAAGAGAATTTCTAGTGAAGTAGAATGTTTTGTTATTGATCGACCACGATCTTTTTCTTTAGATGGCGTTGAAAACTCACATCAAAAGTCTGAACAATCGATCGTTATCAGAGAAACTTCTTAATCTAAATTTTTCCAAAATGAGGAGTACCCAAGAGGAATCTGTGTAAAATACAGAGACAATGTGGATGGATGAAACACATGAGATGAGGTGAAGTTCTTTCTGTTTATTCTTATTGTTCTTGGGGATGGTGGTGAGAGAGGGGTGTGATTCATCCACTTATTACTTATTTTTACGTGTGTCTGCTTTCTTGCTAACTTCTTATTTCACCCACTTTTGCATATTCATGTCCTTTTTTTTTTTCTTTCTTTTTTTTTTTTTCGTTATGTGCCAATGTTTTCACGTGAGTACTTCTAACTGTGTTTTTACTTTATTGTGCTCACTAAAAAAAAAAAAGAGAAAAAAGTTTTTTTTTTTGTTTTTTGTTTTGTTTATCCAGGACTTTGGATTTAAAGTCCATTTTGTTTTTGTATTACTCTTATGTTTCTCCTCACACACTTTTTTTTTTTTCTTTGTTCGTGCTTCCAACTTGCGTGAAAAAAATACACAAATCTTACGCGCTTGGTAATTACAATCACACTGGTTATTCTATCCTTATAGGTATTCTTTGATGCGGTGTCTTTCTGAAAAGCACACCCAAATTACCTCTCTCTGCTGCATAATAAAAACATAAAAAAAAAAACCCTTAACATTTTCTCTTTATCATTAATAAGAATACTAATGATAATTAGTATAAATTGATAGTGGAGAGGCCTACTTCCTGGGCTTAGTGGTTTAAAACACAACGAGTTACAGGGATAAGATTTAAAAAATATACTAAATAATTTTACTTTCTCACCCTTTTCTTATTCTTTCTTTTTTTTTTTTTATTTCGTTTTTTTTTTTTTTATTTTTTTTACGAAAGTAATTTGTGTAGACTATTCTATTCTTGTAGAATAGTGGGGTTGGTAGCATTGAGAAAATGCCTCCGAAAGCAGTCCCTGGGAAGGGAAATAAAGGTGATAAAAAAGGTGATGAAAAACCAAAGAAGATCGGCGCCCATCAACTCGCTCTTAACAAGGCTGTTGAGACGGCTGAAAAACTATACAAACAACATGAGCGAGAGCGAGCAAAGATAGAAAATGCCGATCGGGCAGCCCGTCAGGATGCTTCACTTGATGCAGCTGTGGAGAAGGAGCGACTGCGAGTTGATAGAGAGGAGTATGAAAAGTTTGTGAATGAAATACTTGACCAGGAACAACTTGCCTACAAGGAATATGAAAAACATCGAATCTGGAGTCATATTCCAGATGCATCAAGACTTCCTAACGTACGAAGTGAGAGTTCTATCAATACGTTCCTTAGTGTATGGCGTAGTGAAGAACAAGAATATGATGAACATAATCCAACTGTTACGATAGTCGCAAAACGTGGATCTATTAGTTCTCAATCACACAGCTATCGTTTTTTTAACAGTGAACTTGGTATTACCCCTGCCGCTCGACGGAAGATGTTAGAAGGCGATCTTAAACAATGTGTAGAAGCATATGAATTAACAGAAGCTATTCAATTAGAAGCCGATCGTTCTCTTACTCAACGCAAAAAAGATGAATTAAAATTTTTTACAGAAAATACAGGTAAAGTATGGGAACAAGTACTTTCTTCTTTGGATTTTGTAACTATTCACACTTTACTCGGATATGATGTTATCTTGGATGGTCCAGATAATGAATTTTTTACAATGAATGTTCCTACTGCAGATCCTGTAGTAAAATTTGGTCTCTGGGTAAAAGTAAAGGAGACTACCCGTAGTTTCGCTTCTTTGGTTTTTCCGAACATTCTTGTGCGTCTGGACCCAAAGTCAAGCGCTTTACCTAAATTACCAAAAGCATTGGGATTAAGTAAGGAGAATGTTGCCTTACGAGTTATTCAATTGGGATTTAATCCATACAGTCATTATAGTTCTACTGGGCATGAATATTACGCGTTAAACTGTGTTATTAAAGTAGACCTTTTGAGTTTTACAGAACGACCAAAACAAAGCGGGGATTGGTTATACCGATCTGAGACTAAGGAAGCTCATAAGCTACATATTGTACCGTATCCTCCTCCAGTAACGGAAAATGTTGAAGAAGATCTTTCACTTCGCATTTCTTTTGAAGTTTCTAATACCATTGTTATGCGTCAACCAATGCTTCTTATTGGGAAATGGATAAGTGAGTCACAAGAATGGGAACCATGCAGTCATACATCTGTTGCAGAAAATAACGTTCTTGACGGTAGACGTTGTGTTTTTTCTACAGCTGAATTTGCGACCTTTGCTATTTTGCAAGAAAAAGGATTTGATATCCCATATGAACAATGGCGATTACAACCTGCCGGATATGATGAAGTATTGATGGTGTTGGAAGGACGTCGTCGCGGTGAGCCAAGTGACCGTGAATTTCGTATTCTTATACAAGATACACAATGTAAGTTAATTGCTCCAGAAGATCCTGAGTTAGCGTATTTGCGTGAAAATTGGCTTGAACCTGCAACACTGGTTCGTTTACTTTCACAAGCAGGGTTTAATTTTGCATTAGAAGATGATGATGCTGCTTTTCTCGAAAATATTGTACCGAAAAATTTTGAATTAGAAGAAAAAGCTTACGCTGATATTGCTCAGTTCTGTCTCTTTTATGCTATTGCTAGTTCTTCTCATAATAAATGCGGGGAGGATGCGGATTTGGCTCTTTTCCGTATCTCCAAACAGTACCGTGCGGCAGACCATGATGGACTGTTTGAGGTCCCATTAGATAATGACTCGGAGTGGGACAGCGTGCGGTACCAGACCCAACGCTGTGCCTTTGCGGCCTTTAAAGAGTCGGATGAAAATCCAGATCTTCGCATTCTTGATGGACATGAATCGCATCTCAACTTGTACACTCTCCTCCTACATGAAAAAGGTGAGGAGGTACGTCTTCAGTGTATTCACAGGACAAACTTTCTTTTGCGGCGCTGTGTGTTTCAGCTGCTTTGTCTAATTAGACCGCTCACGTGGGGTTGAAAAGAAAAAGAAAGAATAGAAAAAGAGAAAAGAAAGAAAAAAAAAAGAAGGCACACATACAAAAAAAAAAAAAAAAAAAAACCAAATCAAAAACGAAGAAATGTGTGCACAAGGGACATGAACGATGTGAAGAAATTGGAAAAACAAAAACAAATGATATGTACAGCTGTGATAGTTTCGGTTCAGAAACTCAACGTATGGCGTTAAAAAAAAGAAGAGAAGTTGTTTTATTTATTATTGTTTTCATTATTCTCATTATTATTATTTGTATATATTTTTTTTTCCACCTCTTTATTCTACCATTTGCTCTTTGTTTGCTGTCTGTTTTTTTTTTTCTCTTTATTCTGTGTTATTGTGAGTGCGTAGATGCGCCGCACAGCTTTGCGGCGTGTCTATGAGAAGTTTGAGGGTGGTATCTCTGGTGATAAAGGGTACATGACATATCAGCAAGCATGTTCTATATTTGGGTTTCAGATGAATGATAGGCTGGAGGCGAAGGAGATTAAAAAACGTTTTAACAAACTTGTGCTTCAGTATCACCCCGATCATGGAGGCACAAGTGAGCAATTTCAACTTCTCCGTGAGGCGCATAAACTTTTACTGACACATAGGCATGATAAAGGAGAGAATGCTCATACGAAAGGTACTGAAGTGAAGTTTAGGCGTATGCATTACGATGAAATGACAAATACGATCCATCGTCAGACTGCAGATAATAAAGAATACCGATCTTTTGGTATGCGAGATTTTGTATTCTTCTTTTTCTTTGTAGCATTTATTTTCTTCTTTTACTTTTATCGAGCCTGGCGAACGCAGATGCAAATACTTCGCAGTCGTTGGAGTTATACAGAAGATCGTTTAACTACGGAAGGATCCCGCAATGATGTGGGGGCATGGCATCCCTGGAGATCTGATCAGGCAACTCGTGATGTTATGGATGATATTGGTGTTTTGCAGGGAAGTATCAGACAGGAGGTGTTAGAGGAGAAGCGGCGACAGGCGCCTATGGTGTATGTACCTTGGCAACCTGGTGGTCCTTTTGCCCGCGGTGAACGTAAATCAACAGCAGAAGAAGGGAATTGAGAGTGTAGCACCTGCGGAAGAAGTAAAAAGGGTTTAGTTGGTGTTTTCAATTTACATTATTATCACTATTATTTATTTATTTATTTATTTATTTTTCTCTTTCATGATTTATAGGATCATGAATGTGTACATGTTTATGAAACTGATTTCTTCATAATATTATACTATTTTTCTCCGAGGTATAATACTTTCTTTTCTTTTTTTATTCTTTTTTTCTTTTCTTTATTAGGATGGAGGGAGAAAGCTGTGCATCCACAGAGGAGACCTCTGTAGAGGTAGGAAGACTACAAGAGGAACTTAGCAAGGCCAAGGAACGACTTCAGCAGTGGAAAGAGAAAACACAAATTGGGGTAAATGAATTACGTAGCCGTATTGTAGAACTTACACGAGAGCTAGAAGAAACACGAGCAGCTAATGTACAACTAAAGGAGCAACTAGATAATAAAACAGAAGGAGCTAATGCTGCTACTGCTACGTTTCTTTCTACTCCTTCTCCCCTAACGAACATTTTAACAAGTTGGATAAATGATTCTACTGATATATTTACTTCTACATCACTAGCAAAATCAAGTATTGCATTAGATATGGTTGCTTCGGTTTCATTGGAATTTGATAAGTACAAACGTCGTACAATTCAAACTTTACGAATGCAAACAAAAAATTTAGAGTCATTACAAGTAGAACTATCTGATGTCCGACATCAATTAAATAGTGCTCTTGATGATCTAAATGAACGAAAGTGTGCTATAGAGAGTCGTGATGAGGCAATATCAGTACTGCAAAACCGTCTTGATGACCTTGAAGCAACTAATGCACGACTTGAGTCAACACGAGCAACAATGGTGAATAAACCAAACATGGAACAAATTGATGTGTTTCAGGAAAGGTTGGAAAAAGAAATTGAAAACGTACAAAGAGAATTTGCCTCTCGTGAGAGTATTATATTTGATCAACACCGAGATGAGATTGAGCGGCTTGTGGCTAAACATGATGAGGAGGTAGCTGAACTACGTGCCGAATTGGAAGATAGAAGACTTGCAGGTATGGTTGTAAATATGGAGGGACGATCAAATAATGAGGCAAGTGAGGTTGCATATGCAGAACTCATGGCTGACTTTGAGTCTCTTCGAGACGAGTTAAAGGTTACACAAGATGAGAATCAGAAATTATTGAAAAAGTTGCAAGAAATGAAAGAACGATCGGTATGCAGTAATGGTAGTGTGAGCAATGAAAATAACAGTGGAGGAGTATTACGTGGATCTCTCACGTTACCAGAAGCGCTTGCACGTATTGCAGAGCTTGAAGGTGGTACAAAAAGACTATCTGATGAGTTATGCGAAGCGAAAAAACGACTTATTGCGACGAAGCATCAAGCCAATAATAATAGCATGAATAACAACAATAAGGATAATAATCGTCCACAAGTTTTGGAGGGACAACAACTTTCTTATCTAAAATTTATTGTTGTGAAATTGCTTTGCGCTAATGGGGACGTTCATGTATCAATGAATTTATTTCCTGTACTAAGCACACTTTTGCATTTCAATTCTACAGACTTAGAGAATATTTATGCTGCAAATCCAGATTGGGTGAAAAGAAAGTTTTAAAAGAAAAAAAAAAATTCTCTTAGTTTACCGTTGTTGTTGCTTCTTCTTCTTCTTCTACTGATACCCCTCGTAGAGGTTGTGGTGATGATAATATGATGTGACACGACCGATTGAACCCATACTCTATATTAGTATGTGAAAAAGAGTGGAGTTTTGCTTTTTTTTTTTTTTTCTTTGCGCTTTCCACATGTCGTTTACTCTTGGATGACTCTTTTTTTTTTGTATTGTCATGACATTTTTTTTTCTCGTCCTTTGTCTATGTGCTATAATAATAATAATTATTATTATTATTACTATATTTTTTGTTTTTTTGGGGTTTTTTTTTTTTCTTTTTTTGTTATCCTTCTCCTCTGTGTATGTATTTCTGCCTTCACGTTTCTCTTGTGCTGTGTTTATGTAGGGTAGGGCAGTTTGTGTGTGTGTATATTAGGAATGCAATATTTGCGGTGCCTGTTCTTGACACCTGAGGAAGCTCTTTCCCGCGAACGGGTACGAAACGAAATTGCCCGTGAAAAATTGTCTGGGGCGCGTTTACAACGTGCGGGTGAGGAAGAGCACTATGAGGCGGAGGTAAAGCACCTAAATGACGAGTTACAGGCGAAACGAGATTCGTTTGCGGCGGTTGCGAGGCCTCTCCTCACGGAGTACGACGATGTGTTCCTTGCGCAGCACTACTACCAGGAGGTGTCGAATATCCTCGAGGGCCACGTCCGGGTGATGTCGCAGCTGGCGGACCGCGAGTTGGAGGGCTATGGCTACGTTGGCAAGCGGCTGGTGGGCGCCGGTCTGCACCTCGAGGCGCTGCGGGTGCGGCTCGCGCGGGGGGAGCCCTTCCGCCGGGAGCTCTCGGCGGCGCTGCGGGGGGCGTCGAGTCCGGACCTCGCGGTGGTGGCCGCGCCGCTGATGGCCGTCGGGGATCGCGGGGTCCCTCCGCCCGCGGCGCTGCGGGCCACCGGCTTCGATCTCGCGCGGGCGGTGGAGGCGGCGGGGAGCGGGCCGGCGAGGGGCCCACCGCGCGGTTGGCTCGATCTCCTCAAGTTCCGCACGTCCCTCAGCCCCACCATGCTGGAAATGCGGCAGGCACAGGCACGACGGGCCGCCGCCCACTTCCTCGCACACGTCGAGAAGGGCGAGTACAGGCAGGCACTCGACGTTGCAGAGACTATTCATGCAGAGGCAATGCGTGAGGGTGTACCAAATGCAGAACTACTAGATAGTGCCTTCACGGCTTTTAGGAATACGGTGCTTCCAGCACTGGCAGCAGACATGTTCTTGCGCTATTCAAGAGCATCACTTGATTCGGCTCGCTATGCTTGTGTGGAAAAGATGTTGATGGAGGAGTAGGATCCAGAAGAAGTTGGGAAAGTTTTGGCAAATACAAAAAAATAAAAGAAAAGAAAAAACGAGAAAAGAAACGGATGCCCTAACTTTTTGTTCTTCTCTTTATTTCGCTATCGATCCCATGTTCTTTCTGTTTACCGTATCTTTCTTTTTTTTTTCTCTCTCTCTTTCTGTCGTACAAATACAGACAGACAGACAGAAAGATACACTTACGGTTGGGGTATACGCATGCATGCACTCACACATGGCACCTGTATTACAGTATATAATGTGTTCTTTTTTTTTATGTTTTTATTACTAGTGTTCTTTTTTTTCTTTTTATTTTCTTTTATTTTCTTTTTTCTTTATACAAATAAACAAAAAAAAAGATACAGAGAGGAGGAGCTGTTGGTGTTGGTAACGTTCATTACAATTTTATTTGGAAAGGAAGGTCTCAAGTTATTTATTTATTTCTTATAAATAAATAAATAAAATCATCATCAACGATAACAAGGACAAGAGCAAGACGAATTATTTATATTTTTTGAGTATATGGCTCAAGTTCTTGGTGCAGTTAAGCAAAGACTGTGCGCAAGTCAAAAAACGCGTTCAGTAGATGTGCTTTTAGAGGCATATGAGGTACTACAGAGATATGAGTCTGGTACTATGTTTAGTGCTCTTTCAGAATCTTACGTACCGATTGAGTTATATATACTCTGCTGTGAAACTGCAATAGAATTAGGTAAATGGGATATAGCTAAAAAATGTTTGAAAACTTTTTCTGATAAACGAACACCGACAAAAGCACTGGAGTCTCGAGCTTTATACTGTGATGCTCTCGTTGCTCTTCACAATATTCCAAGTTCATGTCGTGGTAAAGCAAAAATATCAGCACATTTACAGTGTGCTAGTAAAATAGTGACTGGAATAAAAATTGTTTTAGAGGAATGGCCAAAGGAAGCGCATACACTTACAATAGGGGTTGAACATTTATGGTTGTCCATTAGAGATCTCTTTAATACTGGAACATATGAGAGTGTAGTGGATATTATTGTATTTGTTGTTGCACTACATGAGAAACTTTTATTAGGTGGACCTTTTTCACATCTTCAGTGGATTCTTCGATATGCTGTAAGTTTAAGGGGTCTTGGCCGATTTCAAGAGGCAGTAGCTCAATTAACTACAGCGTCAGATGTAATATCTAAAGTAGGATCTGAAAGACTACAATTACAACTTTTTAGATTTCAAATACCTTTTTCAGCTAATTTACCAGGTTTTCGCCCTAAACAAGATTATACAAAACCTGTAATGCAAGGTATATATGCAGTACAATCTTTTTTCTGTGGTATTACAGATGAGCATGTTTCTAGGATGGAACTTATAGCAGCTCATGAACGATTAATTACTGATCCAGAGAAGAAAGAAGTAAAACCAAAAGGAAAGAAAAATGTAGAATCTGAATTTACATTTAATGATCCAGCACTTGTTATGGATGTTCTTAGTGAAGTGGTTCTTGGACTTGCATTATGTGGAGCAGATGAAACATGTAGTGTTAGTTTATCTAAGGTACTACAAAGTGAAAGTGTTCGTCCTCGTTTATTTGGTGAATATGCTCAAGCTATTCTTAAAGCTCGTGCTTGTGGAGCTCTGGATGCGACGAAGGCATTAGATGCAAGTTATTTAACAAGAAGTACGGCAGAAGCACTGTTCAAGTGTATTAAAACAGTGGAAGGAACTATGGATAGCGCTCGTATGATTGAAGATCCTTCTGAACGTTCATACACGTTGGAGATTGGTTGTGTTATTCTATGGAATCTTTGCCTTCCATTATTGCAGCCAGAAACACGTGGAAGATTGCGTCACACATTAAAACGTATATCATTACTTTTGGCAAATCATGGTTCTAATTTGACCAGACTTCTTGTACATGTAGCCTATGAATCTAGTTTAGTTGAATTTGAGGAAGATAATTTAACCACTGCTATTGAGCAAGTTGACCGAGCACTTTCTTTAGATTACTTTGTTGTGAATACAGATGGAAATATTGTCTTTCCTATGGATTTTGCGTTACAATGGTTGAAACGACGATGTTTAGTACGTCGAGCTATTGATACTAGTGCCCTTTCTTCACAGGAAGATCAAGTGATTCATTTGATTGAACAAGCAAGAACAACAGCTTCTACATCTAATCGACTTGTTTTGCTACATTCTGCTGTTAATAAACTTCCTCCTCTTAATACTATGGTAAATATTACTTCTGCAATTAAGGAGAAAACACCGGTACAACGTGAACAAACAAAAAGTAGTAAACAACGTAAACAAGCTACCGTTATAGATACACCAGAAGAACCAACAACACGTCTTGTTACAAATCCTTCGGTGGCAAATATTTACTACTTACTTTTAAAAGAGGCTAAAGAGATAAAGAGTTCATCTATAAATCAAATAATAGAAACTGTAGCAGAAAGTTTAACTCATATTAATATTTTGAAAGAAAGTGATTCAAAAAATTTACTTGTCATGCAGGCAGAAGCTCATTTGAGTATGGCTGAAGTTTTATTAACTAAATCTGAGACCAATAGTAATACTGGAAAAACAAATTCTACAGATGATGCTATGTCTCATATTTCAGAAGCTGCAAAGATTAGTGTAAAATTATGTGCTGCAGGTTATCATGAAGAATGGATAGTAGTAAATGCTTGTCTTTCTTTAATTAATTGGTTCACTGATTCTTTCCGTAAAGGTTTATTTCTTTCAGCTGCAACAGTTCTTGGAGAACTGTATATGGCACTTAACCAAACTCGTGTGGATCCTATAAGAGAGTACAAACTTTTTGATGATATTGGATTTGGATATGTTATGTCCATTATACAAATGTATATATCTTCAAAAGGTGAGGTAAATGGGGAGTTAAGTTGTGAAACATTGGAAGAAACGATGGAAAAAACTTTTCTATACCCTATATGTGAGGCAAATAATCCTATACTTCGAAAAGCATTAGATATTATTCGTGAGATAAAAAGTAAGTGGAGTTTACCTTCTCGAAGAAAAAAATTTACGCTTCTTGATTCCTGTGTTCATAGACTTTTTGAAAAAAATCAAGATGAATCTCATCATCCTCAGGAACTATTACTTTTTTCTTTAGGTCGATTGAGTGGTCCAATCTCTTCTGAAGAAAAACGTCATTTAATTAATAAGGAGTGTTTAGACTTGTTACGACTTGATCCTTCAGTAGAACTTTGTGGTCGTCTCGCTACCCATAGTATGCAAATACCAGAAAATGAGAGAGTAACTCTGGAACTTTGTCGAATTGCAGATCATTTATATCAAAATGGAAAACTTGGTTGGGGAACTAAGATGATTATAAATCCTACTCCAAGTAAAGAAAAAGGAGATAAAGGACATTCAAGTTCCAATGTATCTTCAACAAGTGGTAGTATATCTTGTTCCATTACGTATCCAAAACCATGTGAAGATGATTGGTATTGGTATGCTGTTTTATTACTTTACCAGGCTACTGTTCTTTTGCGTTTGGGAAGTGGAATTGAAAGATCCAAACGTTTGGATTTAGAAAAACGTATTCTTGTAGTTATTACTAATAGTGCTATTGCAGCTTCTCATGGTCCTCCTAGAACACAAATTTCACAAATATCACAAGCTTATCATGCTTTTTGTATAGTTGCTGATTCTTTTAGTGGAGCATCACGTCATTTACTTTTCCCAAGTCTTAAAATGTTACTATCCCCTAGTATAGTAACAAAACTGAAATTATCATCTCGAGCAGGTGGAAATGATGGTTATGCAGATCGTGAAGGTATTTATACTTTATTAACTACAATGGCTGGATATTTTCTAACCGCATTATTAGAAAAAGGTGCCTATGATGAGGGAATTAAAATAATGAATGAACTTCTTAGTGTTCTTCCACCAAAGTATCATAGAGTTTTTCACACTTTTGAAGCTCAATTCCGTTGTAATTTGGGACTTTCAATGTCGCAATTACTACATAAAATTAAAGGAGGAGATCCAGAGACAGAAGCCGCTGTTTGGATTGCTATTGCAAAGAGTGCAGGAAATATTACAGAAAGTACGAAAGCTTGGGTAAAATCTGTTGAAATATTATCAGAAAAACCACTTGAAAAGGCTGATACACTTCTTCAAATGTCAGAATGGATGACAGCTCATAATGCTATTTCAAGACATGAACTTGTTACCCTTTTATTATCAGCTCTTGATGCAGTTGAACATTTTGGTGAAATTCAAATGATTAAAACTTTAAGTGGTAGTACATTAACTTCATCATTACGAAGTGTTCGTCAAACATTAGCATCTTCATTAGGTGGACGTACATTTGCTCTATCTCATGCTTTTTCTACTCGTTCTTATGGAAATACATCTGGCGGTACTCATGAACCTCCATCTCTTCGTGATGCTATGACGGCGATTCGTATTTTGTATTTCCTTTTCGTAATTGCACCAGAAGAGTCAAGTAATGATGGTTCTTTTACCGATAGTAAAATTTCTTGTACGTCTACTATTATTTATTATATATTTTGTCTTTGGCAAATTGTTTCTATTCGTGTACGAGTTCATGATGAGAATTTAGAACATGAAACAAAGAATAAACCATTAGAACTTCCTGAAGAATTTTATGGTTGGCAAGGATTTCGAGTTGATCCTCATTGGGTAGATGTAATACGATCTTCTTGTCCTGATGATGCCACTTATAATACAGTAAAACTTTGGGGAATGCTTATGGAGGTTTGTGAATTTTTTATGCGAGAAAATATGGAACAATATGCATTTATCATTTTTTCTTGGATTGAATTTTCTGTATCTTGGAGATATGGAAATTCTGATCCACGTGCGTTGGCTATAATCCGCGCTGTTTATTACAAATCATTTATGGCAGCTTCTCGTTGTGGATTAGGGAGAATGAGTAATATGTATCACGTGGATGAACCTAAGGCTGAATATTGGTCTAGTATACAAGAGATATTATTAACAGTAGAACCTCCTTTACCTTTTTCAGACTTTTCAGATGGTTTTTTTTCATTTACTAGCTGTAAAGGAACTATATACCATTCTGTTTTAGTGGAAGCGGAAGAACTTTTTTCACTTGGACGTATACAAGAGTCATTGGAATGGAATAGAAAAGTTTTACAATGTGCAATGCGAGTGTGTAGCAATGATACTATAATTCGTTGTCATTTACTGGAGGCGCGGGCAAGTATTCTTCGCGGTGAAGGAGCATATGCGGCTGAACAATTAAGTTTACTAGAGGAAAATTATAGTAAACTTACCTTTCAACTTTGGACAGAACTAAGGTTAATACATTTTGAAGCTTTAGTAAGTTGTCAAAAATTGGAAGAAGCTATTAATTTGGTTAAACAAATTCCAATAAGTCTTTCACTTCGTGCAAATGAAATTAATACAGATTGTGTAGCTAAAGATGTAGTAAAAGATATATTAAGAGATTGTCAAAGAAGAGTTTTACGAGAAAGTGCTCAACTTCTTGTCTCTTTATTTGACCTTCCTTTTCATCGTTTCTGTTGGCCAGGGAAAAGCGAATATACTACCAAAACGTTTCTTTCAGAAGTGTGCGATCAATTACGTGAATTTGGTGATTGGAAAAGTCGATCTATAGCTCTTCGTGTTAGACAGAATTTACGACCATGTGTGGATGAAACTCTTCTAGTTGTGGATATTGATAAGGGTAAAGAAATATTAACTATGTTATATGAAGAGTATTGTGAACTTCTTGAGGTAACAGAACTTGTTCGTCAGGAAATGGAAGCGATGATACCTGTCTCTTCATATACACAAAGTATTGCGGCACAACCTGGTCTTGCCATTGGATTTGATGAAGTATTAGTTATGAGAGCTCGTAATTGTTTGGAACGAGAATTATTAAAAGATTTTATTTTACTACGATACCACCAACTGACTATGGAACAGCTTGGTATACCAACAGGTGGACCTAAAGAATTGGAATCTTCTGTACTGCAATATATGCGAGATCCCAAACAATATGAATATATAAAAAAGAGTGTACAAGAAGAAGAAGAAGATAATATATCTGGGACTGCAAAGAATGAATACGATCCAGAGAAGGAGTTAGAATGTGCGTTAAACCATTTTGGTATTCCAGTAGCATATATGGAAGGTGCATCTGGAGTAGATGCTGAGGCTATGCTTTGGCGTGTTACAAATAGTGGTGAAGGATGTTCACCTATTCAAATGGAAGCTTTTATACGTGTTTCTCTCGCAGAATTTCAACGAAGATTAAAGGCATTTAGTAAAAAGGAAGATTCTTCTACGATAAATGATGGAGAAACAGTAGAATTAGGATCACATTATAATAATATTTTGACAAAAAAATGGACCGTTCCTATTGTTGTTGCAGAACGAGCTCTTGGTCGTAAATATAGTCGTAAAGTACTACAAACAGAGAGACGAAAAGGTAAGAAAATTATTCCTGTTGAAACAACAGAAACAGTTCCACAACCAATTAACTTATGGATAAATGAGAGTAGTAATCTTATACCTGCAATAAAACAAGGTATTACCTATGCATCTCATTTATTAGATTATAAGGAATTAGCAAAATGCTATATTTGTCTAGCTCATTCGCTTATACTTTCAGATATGCCATATGCAGCTGGTACTGCTATTGAATTTGCACAAGCTGCTGAGATGTATAGTTTCATTGTTAATGTTCATGGCGCTCTTCTTAGTAGCTCACCAGAGAGTAATTTTATTCGTTTAGTGGAAAAAATGAAGAGGAACACACCTTTTCTTTTAAATACCACTGCCTTTGATAAAATACGAACTGAATTAATGACCGCCTCAAGTATGTACCGACGGTGTGATCTTGTAGGTCATTGGCCACGAGAGCCAAACAACCCGGATCCTCTTCCTCCTGACTATTGTACCTTTTCTGTTGTGCGTGAGGGTTGTACGCCGTACTTCCTGGTGGCACTTCGCCGCCCGGACGGTATGGTGGACAGTCGCCGTGTGCAGTTGGATGTGAATGCCCTTCTCGGCTGCGGCGATGCCTTTAAGCGGGCGGAGGAACTCCAGCGGGGGGTGTTGGTCCGCCGCCCCTCCGCCTCCTCCGCCCCACCCCCCTCCGATGGCTCCTTCGCCGCCGGCGTTCGGGCGGCCAGCCCACCGACGGCGCCCCTCCTGCGGCGGCTGGAGGTCCTGACGGCCCCGCTGTGGGAGGACTTCCGCCCCGCCCTCGCCTCCCTCGCGCCCGGCTGCCATCTCTTTCTCTGCCTCGACCCGCTCCTGCACGCCCTCCCACTCGAGATGCTCTCACCCATCATCGGCTTCGCCTCCGTGCAGCGCGAGTTGTCGGTGCTGAACGTACGCCAGAAGTTTGCAGCACGCAGCGGCAAGACGCAGTCAGGCTCAACGCTTCTACTCATAGACCCCTTCGCCGAACATGAGGGAGCACTGCAGACACTTGTAGGTCCAGAAAATCGACACAAGTCCACATCAAATGAAATCATTACAGCTACAAAAGAGAGTAATGGTACGTTGTGTAAACCATCATTGGCGTACATGCAACGCTCTCTTGCATCAAATAATCACAGCTCTGTACTCGTAAACACATGTGGGGCTTTCACAGATATTGTAACCCCACAATCACTTGCCGAACTTTCACTAGATCACTTGCAGGTTGTATTCTACACTGAAGGAACTAATGAAAGATCGTTACGTCGTAGACAAAAACAACAAACAAGCAAAACGACACTGAACCTTTTACATGAAAAACAATCTATTTTTTCACTTCTTTTTCTTGCACGAGGTGTTCAATATTTATGTGGCAATGCTTTTCCTTTGTCTCCAGAGGAATGTGACGCCTTAAGCAAACGATGTTTACCTGTTGTTACTAATGGTGGAAAAGGTGTGTACGAAGCTGTTCGTGCTGCTGCAGGGGAGATTATTACTAGTGTTTCTACTGATATAACCCCATCTTTTATCTTTTATGGTGTACCTATATCTGGTAAACAAAAGTAAGTCATTTGTTTTTCTTTCATCTGTTTGAAGTTTTGTCAACTGTTATTGATAATGATGATGTTGTGGCTTCTTCTGCTGATGTTGAGCCATATTTTTCTATCTTTTATTCCTTTGTCTGGTCAGCTGTGATATTATTATTATTGTTCTTGGAAGATGTAAAGAAAAAAAAAAAAGGAAATATATATATATATATATTCCTCGTATCCTTTGTGAATTTACAGAGGAAAAAAAAAAGGATCGGAAAGAATCAACTGAATAAAATGCTATGTACACTTTGATTCTCTTTTTTTTTTTTTTCTTTCCTTGTGTGTGTGTGTGTGTAAATATATATGTGAATAAGTGTTATATTTGTTTCTTGAAATTTACATTGGTTACCCTTTTTCTTTTATTGTGTTTCTTCTCTCTGATGGGGTTATAAAAAATTTTGTACATGCAGGAATTTGTACTTATTTTACCAAAATAAGAGGAATTGTACTCTTTTAAGGTTTGTTAGTAGTACTAGTAGTAAGTAGTGAGTAGTAGGTAGTTAGTTGCTCTTGATCGTTAAAAGAGGGACTGTCCTTTTTCTATATCTTGTTCGAGACGACAGTAGTGTGTTCATTAAAAGGTGACAAGAACAAAAATTTACGAAACAATAACAATAAAAAGAAGGAAAAGAAAAGAAAAGAAAAGAAGATAATACACGAAAAATGGAGTTTCTTGTTGCTGATGCTGAACGAATGTATACAGAAAATGGTAAGCTGCAACATCTTTCGTACTGGTCGTACAAGGTGTTAACACGAAGTTACTTAAAAAGCTACCAAAATCCCCCACTGTTTCCTTATGAAAGTCATTCAGATAATTTTATTAAATCAACAGATTATGTGGATTTTTGCACATGGCATCGCTACTCTGATTTTGAGTGGCTTGCAGCAGAGATGGAGCTAGAGTTTCCTGGAATTCTTTTTCCACCTATTCCTCCTAAAGAGACAGATGGGACATTAGATAAATTTACAGGTTTATTCAACAACACAAAGGATGAGGATGTAACGCATAAGGATCACCCTCTGGTGGGAAAACGTATACGACTTCTACAATTGACTTTAAATGCTGTATCAAAAATTCATGAAATTCATGAATCCTCTATTTTAAAAGCATTTGTAACATTAGATGAACGAGGTTGGTATGCATTTCGAGAGGAACGTCGAGTAAAAAATAAAACTTCTTTATTTTCCTCATTTAAGACGAAAAGTTTTGATTTTTTCTCAAAAATAAAATCCATTGGTGATACAGGAGAACCTCCTTGTCTTAATTCATCCCCTCTTGGTGTACTGTTTGCTCAGCAAAATGACTTTTCAGTATTATTAAATGATTGCTATGTTCAAGTTGCACACATGGTAAAAGACTGTACAGGTGAGTTACGAAATTGGTCTGATGTGGATGCGCTCTGCAAACCCACACAGGGTTCTCCTTTGCCGTGGACAGCGTGTTACATTGGACACCTTGTGCAGCATGCAAAGCAGAAGGGATTGGAGGGAGTAGTGCGGGCTATGGATGATAAATATGCCACTGTGGAATGGAATGGAGAAAATAGAGTCATTTCACAAGTTCCATTAGATGAACTGAATTATCCATCCTCAGGAGTAAGTGATCCGGCAGTATTTGCATTTCAGGAACTTACTGCTCAAATTGAATCCTACTGTATGTATTTGAGTCGTCTCCCAGAGACTTCCACACTAAAGGGTATTGAAGATAAATTATGGTTTTTGTCTATGTACGCAAAGCGATGTTTACAAGCTATTGATCACATAAAAGAAATAGGAGGTCGGTTACAATCCTTAACAAAAGCAACTGATAAAAAGTGTACAGCTGAGCAAACACAACGACTTGAACAATTGAAAGAAACTCTTTCAAAGAGTTCATCACGTCTTGTTCGTGAGTACAACAATTTTTATCGTCCCTTTATGAAGGAGCTATTACTAGATGTGGCGCGTAAATTTGGAGAGGTTTCAGTCATGCTTATGAGTGATACTGAATGGAAAGAACGTCTTTCAAGAGCAGATTCTTTATTAACCCTTCAGTTTGATTTTACTCCATTAGATGATGATGTACAAGGCTCAATTGCTGAAGTAGAGGAGGATAATACATTATCGACTCATCCTTCTTTTTCTTGAGAAAAAAATGGGAAAAGTTACTTTAAATCACCTTTATCAGAGACATTATGATCAATGATGTTGACCAGCATCATCCTAATCAACAATGGTAACAGCAGTGGGAAACCGTAGTCTATTGTGATAAAAAAAAAAAAAAATAGTGTTATCATAGTTCTTAGTTTACATAAGGCCAAGTGAAAGTATATTCAGTGAAGGATGTAACGATTGTGTCTAATGGTGGTGACTATTTCTTATTTAGCGCCTGATATCCTCTCTCTTTCTCTCTCTCTCTCTCTCTCTCTCTATTACATCTGAGAAAGAACAAGAACGGTTTGAAAACAATTATATGAGAGAAAGTAGGAAAATAAAGTTGGTATTGAAACAAGAAAAGAAAATATAAAAAAAAAAGAAGAAAATAGTTTTTTTTTTTTTTTTGCTGCAAGGCGTGACGTTATCGTACATTTTTTTTTTTTGCTTAAGTTTTATTATTTGTTTTTTTTTTTTTTCTTTTACATTCGTGGGGGCATCAAATATCGTGTAGAACCCTCTGAAAGAGTAAGTAAGTAATTGGTGCTGGAAATGAAATGTGCGGAGTAATACAACAGAAGCGAAATACATCAACGGGGATACTGTGGGGGAACGTCAAAAAGTTGATTAATGGACATAATTCTTCTGATAAAAAGGAAAAAAAAAAGGAAAAAAAACACATATGATTGTTGGAGAAGCAAAAAAATAAAAATAAAACTCTTTTTTTTTTTTTTTCATTTTCTTTTCATTTGAATTTGTATCGTTTTTCTTTTGTTTATTGTAACTATAGCTTGTAGTGAAGAGTAGTTGAAAACAAGAACAACAGAAATAAAATAAAGAAATAAAAGGTTAAATGAACTTTGTTCGCCGTGTCTTTACAAGCAGTCCTGCGTTGAGTGCGCTGCCCATATCTGAGACGCCAGCGTCACTCAATTATGCACTCTCAAGCTTTCGCTGGCATTTGGACTCTCGTTCACCCAGTAAGGCTATTCTAGTTCACGATTTTTTATCATCATCAGCTTCCTGGCAACAATTATTGCACGAGAGTCTCGGTAGACTTCCTCTCTCACAATTAACACCTAAAGTTCCACTGGAACTCTATGCAGTAGATCTACGAGGACACAACTTCTCTAAAACTCTGCCATGTCCTGCAGATGAAACAAAGTTTACATTAGCGTGTGCTGCTGATATTGCGTTACATCAGAAGCAAATATTACGAACAGATGCGAAATTGGTTGGTATGGGCTTTGGTGCTCTTGTTGCATGCCAGGCTGCGCTTCATTCCCCTCACTCTGGCTTTGATTCTCTCACGCTTTATGTGAATAGCCCTTCACAGTTGATGACATGTGACCCTTCACACTACTCTCTTCCTTCTATAATTGGTAGTGTACCTAAAGAGATTAAAACCCTCAATGAGCTCAATCAGTTTCTTCTGAAAAGGGTGCCAAATACGGTTGAGAGAGCTCTTATCTTTTCTAACGTGGATCAACTGGATGGAACAATTGATTTTCGTTTTAGCAATGAGGTTTTAAATTATCGTAGTCCACTAAAATGGACAATGGATATTGATGAAAGTGTCATGTTCACAAAACAAGTGACAGTATTTTATTGTTCTGATGAACCATTCCCAGAAGAGGTTAACAATAAGTTTATGAAACATTTCCCTAAAGCAAAATTTGTAAAACTTGAAGGCACACAAGGTGGGGATCTTTCTGGTTTGTACGCTCAGGGTCCTTATGTCGTTCGTACCCTTTTAGAATCGATGGACTTGCTTGGTGAAGTGGAGATGGAGGAATAATAATAATAATAATAATAATAAAGGAAAAAAAACAACAACAGTGAGTTAGGAAACGAGTAAGCGATAGTTGATGAGTGAAAATGACAATCTTTGTTTGTTTGTGTTTGTGTGTGTGTGTGTTTGTATGTTTGTTGTGAGAAGCCTTTCCAACCTGGGATATTGTTCCCTCTTGTTTTACCTTGTGCATTTCTTTGAAATGAAGGAGGAGGCAGTATACATATGTGCAGCAGGTATGGTTTTTTTTTTTTTTCATATTTTAATTTCTCTCTCTTTTTTTTGTTTGTACTCTTATTGTTTGTATAACTTTTTTTTTTATTTTATTTTTTTCTTTATTTAATGTATTTCTATTAATTTTTCTTCTTTTGGTTTCTTATTATTATTATTATTATTATTATTATTATTATTATTATTATTATTATTAATTTAAGAATTACTTACAGTTACAGCCAGTGATATCATAACTGCTTGCTGCAAATAAAATAGGAGTTTGCATATGAAGAACTTTCCTAATCTACTGATATTACTCGTATGCCTTCTTTGTTGTGCCGTTCTTCCATCCGTGGCCATCCACGAGGATGAGCAGGGACTTCGGGACTGGATTCTGCGTTTCGTCGGTCATGTGGAACACGCTGTTCACCATCCCGGACTAAAGATGAATCAAGTGTATTTCACATCCTCACAAGGAGCTGTTGCCGCAGTTGCACTCCGTGATGGGGAACTGCAATGGCGAACCCTTTTTTCTGAATCTCAAGCTTGTATCGCAGCAAGTAAGCGTGGAGTAGTGGTTTCTTCTCCTTCTGGAACAGTACAACTTCTTGATACTGCAACTGGAACTATTGAAGCCACTTATAAACTTTTGTTGCCAAAGGGAACTAAAGTTATGACCTGCACCTTTATTGGAGATGATATGAAGTTTGCTGCAATGGGTTCATCAACTGCCTACCTGTACAGCATTGAGGCGACAACAGATGATGAAGAGATTAAAGCAAGTAAAGAATTTCCTATTCCAAGTGATACCCACAACATCCGCCTTGGTGGTAATTATTTATGGGTTTTACACTCTTCAGGTTCTGAACGCTACTCGCTTGAAGGAGAAAAGGAGATAATAACTGCAGAGGGTGGAAACAGTATAATGGTATCAAAATCTGCTGAAGCAGTTGTACTTTCTAAGACGAAAATAACAACGATACAAGATGCTGGAAAGACGGAAGGTATTGAATGTAGTAACTGTGGCGCAGCTATACTTGTTAATCCTGCTGGAGCATTTGAAGGTTATGTTATGACTCAAGCAGGAGTGCGCAATTTTACAGTTTCTTTTCCTCATTCTAAAGTAACAATTTCAGAAAACAGTGGACGTACAGCAGTTAATGCCCCGACGGTGCTTCTCGCAGTCTCAGATGCTCAATACGGTGCATGGGCGATTATTCGTTCTTGTAATGGTCATCTTCTTGCGGTATCGGAGCGCAGCGGTGCGGTGTGGGAACGCATGGAGGGACTTGCAGAAATTGCCCATACAGTGATTGCTGATAATCCAATACGTGATGATCATTTTTCTTTTACAAAATTGGCATTAGCAATATCTGAATATGGTGTTTTATATGCTATTCCTGTTGCAGACAAAGGACAAAATTTGCGTGTATTAGCTGATGTATCAGAGATTATTTTGAGAATGACGAATGCTCCTTCAATGAAGGATGTAAAGATTGAAGAACTTTTTCTCTCAAGTTCAAATGTCGTCGCAGTTGTGGTTTCCTTTGGTAATACACAAGTAACTATTTCTATTAATACTGCTACTGGAGCTGTTTTGGAATCGAAAAAACATGAAGATGTATTGGTTGTTACACCAACATTTGATGTAACAAACTCCCTAAAAGTTAATGGAACTGTTCCATTTCCTGAACTATATGTTTACTCCTTAAATGCTACTGATGGTCTTATAGAGGGATATTTGGTTTCTTCTTCTTCAGATGCTATTCCCCTGTGGACGGTACGTATGCCATTCCCTATTATTGCTTACGCCAGTGGTGAGGATGCACTTCGGACGTCTGTTGTGAACCATTTGCGTGTTTTCCCCAATTTGAGCAGTAAGACGGATGAAGTTCGCCGCAAGTACCCTACCCGCCACGTTCTCGTGGTGGCGCACTACGAGCCCACGGAGGATGAATTAAGTACACTTGTGGTAACGGCGATTGACACCGTGACGGGCAGCGTTCTGGCGACGGTGCGGCACCGCAACGTGGCGGGGCGGGTGTCGCTGGCGGTGGTGGAGCACGCGGTGGTGTATTATTTCCTCGACGCCGCGGTGGTGCGGCACTCCGTGGGGGTTTGGGAGTTGTTTGAGGCCGCCGCCGGCCCGCCGCTCCGCCGCGATGCGGGTGCCACGCTGCCGCTCGTCGCCGCGTCTTTTGTGCCCGCCGCCCGCCGCGCCTTCAGCGCCCGCGCCGCTCGACCGCCCGCCGTCGCGGTGGCCGTCCGCGGCGTTTACGGCGTCCACGGCGGTGATCTCGCGGCCATCGGCGTCACCACGTCGTACGGCGCCATCGCCCGAAAGGCCGTCGTGCTCGCATTTGAGTCCGGGAGGGTCGCAGCCATAGAGCTACGACGTCTCCTCACGAACCCAGACGCAAATAATAACAATAATAATAATAATAATAATGCGGAACAACAGCCACCGTTAACGCATGTTTTTATCGACAGCACTATGCTCCTAACTCACAAATACCGAATAGCCCGTCCAACACGTATAGCCACAGCACCAACAAGTCTAGAGAGCTCGTGTCACGTACTGGTGTCAGGTATGGACCTTTTCTATGTGCGGGCATCCTCTGGTAAAGCGTTCGATCTTCTTAATAGCGACTTTAACAAGAGTCTACTGATTACACTCACATGCAGTTTTGGTGTCCTCTCCCTGGTGGCACGCTACTTTGTCAGAAGGAAGGGACTCAATCTCCTCTGGCGGTAGATACAATAGCAGAAAGAGAGAAGGTAATTCCAGAAAATTCAAACAAGAAAAGAAGCAAAAAAAAAAAAAAAAATAGAATCAAAAATAAAAACATGAGAAAAAAAAATCAACAAATTTGGGAAACGAACCAGAAAATGAAACGATGACAAGGAGGAGAAAAATAAAGGAATAAGAAAGGAAGAAAGTAGAGAAACTCAGAAAGAGAGAGAGAGAAGAGGAAGAAAGAAGGAAGGAAGATGAAGAAGAAAAGAATAAAAATTAAATTGAAGCATGTCGTGAATAGTCGGTGTGAGAAGTGTTGGATATCTAGAAGGAAACTATTACCACCAATAGCGAAAAAAAGGAAAAGAGAAAGGTAAAAAAAACAAGGTCTGGTTGAAGAAAAAGAAGAAAAGAGTATTCATATGCGTTTTTTTTTTTTTTTTTTTTTCTTTTTTTTTCTCTTTCTTTTTTCTTTCTTTCTCTCACTTAGTGTGTGTTTCTATTTTTTCCTTCTTTCTTAATTTCTGCACTCGTCAAATATTTGTGCTTTACAAAGAAGTAAATTTTTTTTTTTTTCTTTTAGCCAAGTTATACTGAATTGTTTGACTTTTTGTGACTATTTTGGTCGTTTTTTTTGTTCTTTTCTTTTTTTACTTCTGCGTGCCATAAAAGAGAGACAATAAAAAGAGGTGGATTGCGAGTGTGTAATAATCTGCCATTAGACGGAAAAGAAAGGGGGATAACATCATATGCCATATGAGTTTATCAAACCGAATAAAGAGAAATTAGAAGATGGGGAAGATGCTAAAATTCAACGCGAATTAGTTTTGTGGCAACTTCGGATGCGTGAAGAACGACAACGGCGCCTGCTTGCTGCTGCTGAGAAGGCGGAGCGAAAACGAGAAGTTGCCGTTCAGTCTGAATCATCGCATTCGATTACACATAGCAGGCAAGAATGTGGTGATCAAACACATCCTTGTAAAAAGACAATATCACTGCAGGAATACCGAAGAGAACTGGATGAAGTGACTCATGGTATACAGAATGCTAAAAATCCACCTTGGTACTCAAATGAACCTAATTGGAAGCGAAAACAAAAGAAAAAAGGCGGTGTTATATACCATGAGGCACGAAGTGTTGTTAAAGAATATATTCATCGTCCTTTACCATCTTCAAAAATTCCGCAAAGAACTCCTACGGGAGCACTTCAAGGGTATAAAGATGCACTTGCATTGACTGCCCGATTATGTGATGATTCATCTCGTACTTCATCTTCCTGGCACAAAAAACCGTTACGAAGTGTCAGCATTATAAATCGTAAGAATTCAGAATTAAGAGCATCTTCTGTTGCAACGACGCGATCAGCGGAGCTTAGAAGAAGACACACAGATTCTATTGCTTCAAGTCTTAATGGTGAGAATACACAGGCCCCATATCTGCATAAGTCTAACCGGAATGATCATGAGGGTCATCCAGGTAGTCTTTCTCCTCCGTCAGTATTAGAACTAAAAGAAGATTACCAAAAAGCGATATTACAACATCATAAAAAACGACAACAAAAACAAAACATGAGAGATGGAATAATAAGTGGACAAAATGGGGATTTACAGCCACAGCGGAGTGAATCATCTTTTTTCTATCACAGTGGACGAAGGTCTGCAACGCAACCTATGGTTTCATCCTCCCCTGTTAATTCTCCCCAACCGCGGCAACCGACCCAACCGCCGTATTCCCTCTATAAGGAGGAAACAGTAGCCTTAGCTCCAACTCCCATGGTGAAAGTTGCGGTGCCAACAGAAATAGTTGTATCTCCTCCCACTCCTAGTTCTAATTATATTGACAACGCTTCTTTACAACACAAGGATCTTCCCAGACGTGAAGTGTCACCGCTCTTGACGGAACTCCTCAGTAAGATTGTGTTACCCAAACCCTCGCTTTACCGACCTGACTTGTACCAAGGACAGACAGTTTCAGATACCATAAATCCAGCGACTAGAAAAGTAAATCAAGGAGGGAAACCCTTAGAAGACACAACATCAGATGTTGCACGTGGTCTTTTTTCTGAGAATTCGTTAACCATTAAGTCAATGAATGATACGAGATCCATAGATCACTCATGGTGATAACAAAAGGTATATATATATATATATATATATGCGCTTGTACGATCAGAGTTATACAATTATGTGAAAGAGAAATTATTCATAATCTGACCGTTTTCTTTCTTCTTCTTTGTTCTCCTTCTTCTTGATGTAGTTGCCGGGGAGAGAGACTTTTTTTTTTCTTCCTATATATATGGGGTTGTATTTCTTCTTTGCGTTGTTTTCTTTTTTTTTTTTATCATCTTTTTTTTTTTTGTTTCTCCTTCTTTTTTCTCTGAAATATGAGTTCACTTTCTTTCATTGTAATATTCTCCACGCAGAGGAAGAAGAAGAAGGGAAAGTGCTGAGGGTGGTGTGAAGAAACGCAAGTACATACATTCACAGAGAAATAAAAAAAGAAAATAAAAAAAAAAACATTGACAGATACTGAAAAAAAAAAAGAAAAGGAAATAAAAGTATGGATTCATTAACACAAGGGTTTTGTGCGAGTGCGCTGATGGGATCAATTCCAAATGGTGGAGAAGAGAGTTGGTCCTCGCTCTGGCCTTCTCCCACTCTCCAGGTGGTGGATATTCAACGTTATCCAAAAGTTATTACGCAACCTTCTGTAATTTCACGATTTTATGTCGCCTTATCCGATTCTGCCTCATTAATTTGGCTTATTGCACCTCCTGGGAGCGAAATGGAAGAGTTAATCCATACCTTCCAAATTGAAGTAGGTTCTTGTATTACACTAAAGGCATACACTGTCATTTCAGCAAAAAATGGTTTAAATGTTTTAGTTCCGATTTCTATAAGTTATTCTGATACCGTACTTTCACTCTTGGGTAACCCTGTTTTCGATCCTTCTCTGTTTGAATTATCAAGTGCAGCTCTTACAAAACAACGAAACGTTCTTAAAATGGAGACTTTACAAACAACAAGAGATTATACTACTTTGTCCTTGCGTGAAATTCTTGAAGTAAGAGGAGAAAGTTTAAGAGATTATGCTATTGTGGTTAGAATAATATGGAAAGGTAAAAATCGATCTCTTGCATCAGGTAATTTAATAGATCGTTTTATATTTAATTCTGTAGGAGTAGATAAGAATGGTGACTCAATATTGATGTCTTTTATTGGTAGTTCTGCATTATATGAGACTTTATCATTAGAAAATTGTGTACATGCAGTAGGTGGAAGTTTATTTTTTGGAGATAATGAAAAGAAAATGCTGCGTTTACAATTTGATGAACGTTTTTCTTCTGTAGTAAATAATATAGAGATGGAAGATGTGATTCCAAAATATCCTTTTCAAATGTTTGGTACAAGAACAGTACAAGATGTTGTGAAACATGGAAATGTTGGTGATGTGGTTTCAGTGGAGGGTTTTGTGATAAAAGTGTCTCCAGGTACACTTGTGCATACGAAACGAGGACAAGTGGAACGTTCTGGAATTATGTTGTGTGATTCATCCACACCGTCTTCTTCATCATGTGTTATTGAAATTACTCTTTGGGAGGATATTTCACGAAGTGTGAAACCTGCGGTTGGTGAACGTTGGTGTTTTTGTGAATTTGTTGTTTCTGGTTTTATGCAACGAATATCACTCTCTAGTAGATCTATGAGTATCGCCTTTAAGATGCAGAAGGAAGTTGGACCGAAGAGATTGGAATTATGTCAAGAAGTAAAGAAACAAGAAGAGACAGAAACTTGCAGTCATTCAGCAGAGAGAGACTCTGTTCAGGTGGTGCTGGCACTGGAAGAGGCATCAGATACATTGCCTGTTTTGGCTAAAGTACAACGTGTGATACTTCCAATCACGTATTCGGCGTGTCGTGGTTGCACTCGGCAAGTCTCTAGTGGAGATGTGCGGTGTGCGGTGTGTGGTGAGTCTGAGAGAGTGGAGCGCTATTTAGTGCGATTGGAGTTGTCTGATGGTATTCGTGTGGTGTACGCTGTTGGGTTTGCCCAAATTGGAGAGACGTTGTTTGGAATGGATGCTGCCACAATGTTGATGCGACAGCAGGAGTCACCTGCATTTGTACATACACTTGTACGTGAACTTGTTGGCATTCCGCTTCTTTTTTGGCTTCTACACTCCTCGGATGGACTTTTGCATGTTGTGAAGTGTAAATACATTAGCATGGCTCATTCCACAGCCATCGTGCTTGGGGCGGTCACACAGTTAATGTTGATGAACTAAGTTTTGTAACAATGATTATTACAAATAAGACAGAAATAAAAAGAAGATGAATAAAGGTATATATATATACTTCTCTGTGGAGAAAAGAAGAAGAAGAAGAAAAAAAAAAGTGTAACAGATGGTCTCTCTCTCTCTCTCTCTCTCTGTATGTGTATATATGTCTCAGTGAACCAAGAATTTGCATTCCTTTAGTTTTATTATTATTATTATTATTATTATTATTATTATTATTTTCTTTATATATTGCTTTATAAATACCACTGCAGAGGTGGTGGGTCTCTGATTTTATGTTTGCCTTTTTTTTTTTTTTATTATTCCATATTTATTCATTTTTTCTTTTTCTTTTGGGAGGGGGTACTTCAATATAAAAGAAAAAGGAATATAACGTCTTAACTTTCTCTGCATATGTTTTCCTCTCCATTTCCTTCTAGTAACTGGACTGGGATAAATGACTATTTTTTTTTTTTTTTCTCTTTTCTCTTCTCTCTTCTTCTTCCTCCGTACAAAAGTCAACATTCAGAGAATAGGACAGAGCAAAACCAAATACAAGGAAGGAAAAGGAAAAAAAAAAAAGAAGAGAGAGAGCAATAAAAGAAAAAAAAAAATAAAATAAAAAGAAAAACAACAAAAACAATAACAACAAGAGTAGTGAAACATTTCTATAGAACGAAGAAGAACTGAAAAAAAAAAAAAAAACAAATTCTGCTAATTATTTTCTGTGAGTGAGTGAGTGTTTTATCTGCGGATAATTCAACAAAACAACAAGGTCCTGCTGTAACAATGGGTCGCCAAAAGTCCCCCATTGGTGAGAAATTTGTCGATATCGCTGAACAAACACTAAATAAGCGTCTCGGACTCGCAGTTAATGAAACTATTCAACGCGATCAGACAGTTGAAATTACTTTCACTGCGAGCAAATCTAAACTTTCAGAAATTGCAACTACAGTTTTTAAACATTTCATACGAACAGCATGTGGTTCTGAGCAAGGTACAACGAAAGTCGCTGCTGGTGAAGTAACCATTGATGCAAAAGGAGAACTGAATTGTATTCGTTTCAATGAAGCTGTACATGTGAATAATTTTAAATTTGAAGAACTACCTGAAGGAAGTCCTGCTATTACTGCTGCAGCGGAAGCCACATATTTTCGTCACCTTGTTAAGTCATCGGAATTGCAATCTTATGCATTAGTAGATTTTCCCAAATGTTTGACAGTAAAGGGAGCTCCACGACTTGATGTTGTTATTGCTGGCTATGTGATATTTTCTATTTTAGCCGGTGAAGGTGATGATATGAAGCTTCGAATGTATTTGAAGACTATAGAACTTGTACTTGGGTCTATGTGTACTTCTTCTTTTGCCAGTACTGTATTACCTAAATCCTGGAATGAACTTGAATCCCTTGAACCTCATCAAGTTTCTGATCTTCTTGAAGATGTTCAACTTTCTATAAATGATTTTTGGAATGACAGTGCGCAAGATACACAAGCTCGTGCTCAGGCTGAATTTCTCATGACAACTGTTGGTTTAAGTTTACGTGAATACTTCGCCAAAAAGTTACTTAATGACCATAGTATCTTTACTGGTGGTAAAATTTTCACAGATATAGCACTTAGTTGCTGCGATGACTGGATGAATATGTGTAATAAACTAACAACTATTGACTGGGGAGCCGTTTGGGGAGGAGGAGGAGGATTTGTGGACGTACAATTAAAAACTGTACGAGATCGACTTTATATGATTACTACTATTCGTGATCTCGTAGATGAAATGGTGGAACTTTTAGGTTCTATTGGTGAACTTCAGTTTCTTCGCAAAGAGACATTATGGGAGACTTTAGAATCTATTGATATCTTTAAAATAACTCCAGCGGTAGAAAAACAATGGTTACTTGGATTGAGTGCTTTTTACAGACGTTTGGAACCAATAGAGCATCGCTGCGCCGCCGCTCTGCGTGACTTCTTTGGTGAACGTGGCAATTTAGCGCCACAGACTATTGTGAATGAAGTGATAAAGTTCCGTCAACTTATTCGTCGTCCCATTGTCGCTAAGGAACTAGTGAGTGAACGAGATACGCTTCTGGCAAAGTTGAATGAACGCCTGCAGAGTATTCGCATGGAATTTGAACACCGTGCGGAAAGTACAGAGGATGATACGGTTCTTGAAGAAGATGATCGTCGCTGTCAAACTGGTCGTTTTATGCCAGGTGTAGTGAATAATATGATTTGGCTTCGTCAACTGCGAGGTCGTGTTGGAGAAATGGTTCATATGTGTAAGTCTCTTTTACAAGATTTACCGGCTGCAGGAGAGTTTATTCAAACAGCAGATACTCTCTTGGAAGATATTGGTGATTATGAAGTGGAAACTTTTAATCATTGGACCATGGATGTAGAAGATAGCAGTTATAAGCTTATGTTAGATGCTAATGCACCTTTAATGGATATTGATGAAAATGGACGTGTTGAAGTAAATTATCCAGAACGATTGGTACAACTCATACGAGAAGTTCGAGTATTTCAAAGTTTAGGATTTCGTATTAATAAAGATATTCAAAAGATGGTAGATCAAGGAATTCGATTTTATCGAAATGGTGTAGCGTTAAAACAAGTTGCCAGTACATATAATTCTATGACAGATGATATTATTCCTTGTACAGGTGCTATGTTACTTGAACCGGCACTTTCTTTTGAAAATATTGTTACAGCTAGTGGAGAACGAAAATTAACTTGGCGAAATACAGAAGATGCAGAACGATTTATTACAAAATTACGTAAAGCATCACAAGCTTTAACTGATGATAATCGTCGTTTACATAAATTACACAAAGAAATTGAGTTAATTGTGATTGAACTTTTTAGTATTGATTTACTACGTTCAAAAGATCGATGGATGGGAAAAATACATACTATTCGAGAAAAAATGGAGACATCAGGATTTAAAAATATGGATGCATGGAAACTCTTTTGGGATATGCAAATTTACAAGGCAATGGAATATCAATACCAATTAGGATTAGAAAGTTTACATGAAGTTGTAAGTGAAATTAAAGCCGATATTATTTATGATCAAGAAACTGGTATGGCTGCACTTCGACCTTCTTTAGAAGTTATTCGTGGTCAATATTATCAACGAATCAAAGAGTTTATAACATTTCCACAACGTTTTCATGGTTGTAGTAATAGTGATATTTTTAAAGAAATGACTGCACATAATGAACGTGGTATAGTTACCGTTATGCAACATGCTGCTCAACTCTTTAAAAAGGTTCAACAAGAACTAAAACGTTTTAATCCACTTCTTATTATTGGACAATGTGGAAAAAATGGTAACCCAACATTAGAAAGTATTGTTGAAAAAGCTCTTACAGAGGTTCAACATTGGGAACAAAGTGTAAGACTTTTAAAACAAAAAGGAAAAGAAATTAATGCAGAAGAACTCTTTATTAAGTGTGGATGTATTACGCTTTGTACTGCTGGTATAAAAGGAACGGTTGAAGATCACTTATACAAATTATATGAAGCTTTACAAATTACACTATACCGTAGTGCTGAGGGTCATTTACAGCGAATCAACGCCTATATTGCTGAAGTTTCTAAAAGTTTAGACACTAAATTAACAAAACTAGAAGAGATTGGTACAGCTAATCTTGAGCATGCAAAACTTATGGAACAACGTCCAGCGATGGAAGTTGAATTTTTCCATTTTTATAATAAAAATATGTTACTACAAAATATGACAAATCAAACTGGTATAGATTTTTCAAAAACCAAAACTCAATGGGATACAGTTATACACCGATTTGATGCCTTTGATAAAGAGGTAGAAGCCCAAATTAATAGTTTACGAGGAACTGTGGAAGAACGAGTGAAAAATTGGAATAAAAGTGTTGAACGTTTTATTAATCAATGGCATGAACTTAAACCAAAAACGGCTGATTCTCCAAATGCTGTGGAATTTGTAAAAGAACGCCAAAATGCACTTAAAGAATTAGAAAATGAAGGAGAAGAATGTGTTCAACAGTGTAAATTTTTTCATATGGATGAACCTGATATAGAGCCATTACAAGATGTAAGACGTGATATTGAAGATTATGCCCTTATGTGGAGTTTGGTAGGAACTTTTCAAGAAGAATTAGAATCCTTAAAGAAAGAATTATGGATTGCTTTACGTGCAAAATTATATCGTTTTGATGATTTTGTAAAGACATGGACAGAAAAACTAAAAGAGATACCAACAAATCCTATTACCGTACAGGTGCGAACCTTATTAGATGCCTGGAGTCGATGTGCCCCACTGTTTAAATTTGTCCGTGGTGATGGATTTACCCCTGGTCACTGGAGTGAACTCTTTACTCTTCTTGGTATTCACAATGCGACGCAGGATACCCTTAAGTTTGGTGATATTCTCGACCGCTACGAAACCATTCTCAAACGCGAAATGGATCTGAAGAAACTTCACGCCCGGGCGCAGGGCGAGGCGCAGATCCGCGAGGCCCTCGACGACGTCCGCTCGTGGGGGACCAACGCGGCCTTCACGCTCGCCGCCCACCCCGACCGCCCCGGCGTGGTGCTCATCACGGAGTGGAAGGAACTCCTCGCGGCGCTCAGCGACAACCAGGCGCTGCTGCTCAGCATGCGGGAGTCGCCGTACTTCGCCATCTTCGCCAGCGACGCCAACAAGTGGGAGGAACGCCTCGCCTGTCTTGACGAGTATCTGCGCAGTATGAATCAAATTCAGCGCAAGTGGGTCTATCTCGAGCCCATTGTGCGGCGCGGGGCTCTCCCGCAGGAACAGGAACGCTTCGCCCGCATAGACAAGGAATATCTCTCAGTGATGTCCACCATCGCAAAGGACAATCGCCTTGTCACCCTCGCAGAACATAAGGAGTATAAGGAAGTATTACAAAATGTACTGGAACAATTAGAAAGATGTCAACGGGCATTAAATCAGTATTTAGAGGCTAAACGTGATATATTTCCACGTTTTTACTTTATTAGTGATGATGATTTATTGGAAATTCTAGCACAAAGTCGTAATCCAGTAGTAATTCAATCACATTTAAAGAAACTTTTTATGGGTATTCACAGTGTTCGTTTTGATTCACAAAAAGAACATATATTACAGATTCACTCACTAGAAGGTGAGGTAGTACCTCTTGAACAACCAGTTCGTATTACAGATGAAGTAGAAGATTGGTTATCTAAATTAGATATTGAAATGAAAGATACCCTTGAAGCACACTTAATACGTTGTCTCAAGAAGGTAGATATTGGTGAATATTCTACACAAATACTTTGTACAGCAGGAATGATTGATTTTACCAAAAAAACAGAAGAAGCTATTCGTGATGCTAAAAGTGGTGGTTTAATAAAACATAAAGCTAATTTACAAGCTCAACTTCGTGATTTAACAGTTTTTGCAGGTAGTAATAATGATCTAGTTGTAGGTCTAAAATTAAAATCTCTTATTATGGATCTTATTCACAATATTGAAGTTGTCGATACTCTAATTCAGAATAATGTTGAAAGTGATACAGATTGGCTTTGGCGAAAACAACTAAGATATTATTTAGAACGTAATAATAAGTGTGTACTTCGTATGGTAGATGCAGAATTTCAATACAGTTATGAATATCAAGGAAATGCGCCAAAACTTGTTCATACACCACTCACTGATAGATGTTATTTAACACTAACTCAAGGTATGCAACTTGGTTATGGTGGTAATCCATATGGACCTGCAGGTACTGGAAAGACAGAATCTGTTAAAGCACTTGGTAATGCAATGGGAAGACAAGTATTAGTTTTTAACTGTGATGAAGGAATTGATTTTAAATCTATGGGACGTATTTTTACAGGTCTTGTAAAATGTGGAGCTTGGGGATGTTTTGATGAATTTAACCGTTTAAAAGTTGATCAACTTTCAGCGGTATCCCAAATGATTCAAGTTATTCAAGAAGCACTTAAAAATGGTGATTCAAGCTGTCATTTACTCGGTCGAGATATTGATGTGAGTCATAATGCCGGTATCTTTGTAACACTTAACCCTGCTGGTAAACGATATGGAGGACGAAGTAAACTTCCAGATAATCTTAAACAATTATTCCGTTCTGTGGCAATGAGTGCTCCAGATAATGAACTTATTATGGAAACTATACTTTTTAGTGAAGGATTTGAAAATGCAACTGTTTTGTCAAAGAAAACAGTAGAAATATTTAAACTTGCCAAAGGTCTTTTATCTTATCAACAACATTATGATTGGGGTTTACGTGCTATGAAGGCTGTTATGCGAGTTGGAGGGACATTAATTCATCAATATCTTACAGAGCGGGTTGGAGGAAAAGTGAAAGCAACTCCAGAAGAAATACTTCAACAAGAGAGTGAAATATTAATTAAATCTTTACGTGTCAATACACTCTCTAAATTAACATTTGATGATGCAGTATTATTTAATAATCTTATCACAGATGTTTTCCCTGGTATTCCTGTGGGTGAGATAGAGTACACAGAACTTCGACCTGCTATTGAAGAATCTATAAAAGAATTTAAACTTCAACTTGTTGAATCACAAATTCAAAAAGTATTACAACTATATGAAGCATTAAAACAACGTATGGGAGTTGTTCTTGTTGGTCCTGGTGGAAGTGGAAAAAGTACATTACTTCGTGTTTTGCGTAGAGCGATGCAACGACTTGGTGTGACGGTTCCTTTGTATGTAATGAACCCTAAAGCTATGCCACGTACACAATTGCTTGGTCATATGGATAATGACACCCGTGAATGGTTTGATGGTGTACTCACAGAAGCAGCACGTAAGGTTGTAAAAGAAGAAAATAATGTACATTCATGGATTGTCTGTGATGGTGATGTAGATCCTGAATGGGTGGAATCCTTAAATTCTGTTTTGGATGATAATAAATTACTTACAATGCCAAATGGTGTACGTATACAATTTGGAGATAATGTGAATTTCTTGTTTGAAACACATAGTCTCGAATTTGCCTCACCAGCCACTGTATCTCGTATGGGTATTATTTATTTATCTGAAGAAGATGTAGATCCAAAAATGATGGTTGCTACTTGGTTACTAGAACAACCTGAAGAAACTCGTGGACAACTTCGTCAATGGATAGATGATTATTTCTATAAAGCTATAGATAGTCTTTTAGAAACGGGTAAACTTATAGTGGAAACTACACGAACTGGACTTGTATCTTCTGGTTTAAGCCAGTTACAGCATTGTACAAATAAAGCACAGTTTACACTTGCTCTTATTTACGGTCTTGGATCTTATCTTTCAGAGGAACATCGCCGTGATTATGCAAAGGATATTCACTACATGACAGGAGAACGTCCACCGGATTCTAAAAATCCACTAGATATTTATTATGATGCCCAATATGGTGGATATAAGACTTTTGAATTTCAACCAGCATTTGATCTTAACGTGGAAGATCTTTACCGTCATCCTATGATAGCTACTTTGGATTGTCAACGTAATATGGAAAATATGCAGGCATGGACGAAACCACTTCATCCAGGTTTATATAGACCTTTTATTCTTGTTGGTCCAGAAGGTTGTGGAAAGACAATGTTACTTAAAAACTTATTTGAACAAATTAGTAACACACGTGTGGCGATTGTAAATTGTTCTGCACAAACAGAAGCCATACATATTATTCAAAAACTCAAACAAACATGTCAAATGTTTAATACAAATCAAGGACGTGTTTTACGTCCAAAAGAAGCGGAACGTCTTGTTTTACTTCTTAAAGATATGAACCTTCCAAAACCAGATAAATATGGAACTGTACAATTACATTCTCTACTTCAACAACTTATTCTTTATAATGGATTTTATGATGATGATCTTGAATGGATTACAATAGAACGTGTTCAAATTGTTGGTAGTATGAATCCTCCAGGAAGTATGGGTCGTTATCCTGTAGCCCCACGTTTTTTAGCTATTGTTTCTGTACTTGCCATGTCTTATCCATCACGTGAATCTATGCAAACCATTTACACAGAATTTTTTAATATTATGATTCAAAGTCATCGATTACAATTTAATCTTCCTGGTAAAGGTGCAGCGGATATTGCTCGTTTTATGACGAATGTTTATGAAGCAATATCCACTCGTTCTACTGTAGATGTGGCATCACATTATATTTTTAATCCACGTGATGTTACTACATGGGCACTCAATTTACTGAACTATAATTCTTTAGATATACCAGATGCTATTGGATATGAGGGTCGACGTATTTTTGTGGATCGTCTTGTTACTCCAGAAGAACGTGCAAAGAGTTCTAAAGTTATTTATGATAATATATTATTTCTTGTTGGTCATAAATCTGGTATTACAGAGAAGGAAACAGTATATTATGTTTCATGGATGGATACTTCCTCATCAAGGATAAAGAAATTAACTTCTACTAGTATGGATGAACTTAAAAAATCAGCAGAACATCTCGTTCTTACATACTCTAGAGAATTTGCAGAATTAGATGTTCAATTAATTCCTGAAGTATGTGCTTGGATTGCTCGTGTGGATCGTGTTTTATCACAAGAACGTGGAAATTTACTTCTTGTTGGACGATCTGGAGTTTGTAGTGCCTCCATTGTTCGCCTCGTCGCCTACAATTTGCGTATGGAAGTAATGACATTAGCCATGACAAGAGAATATGGGATGAAACAATTTAATACCGAACTAAAGTCTGTAATGACAAAGGCTGGAATAGAAGGACAATATATTGTATTTTTACTAGAAGATCATCATTTTGGTAATAATCCTCTTATTCTCGAAACGGTGAATTCTCTCTTATCATCTGGTGAAGTACCTGGTTTATTTACACATGAGGAATTAGAAGCTATTTTGGGTCCATTAAAGGAAGAAGCTGCTGGAGAAGGTATGACGCCTTACGCCTATTTTGTAGATCGTGTGGCTCGAATGTTACATATATGTATTGTGATGGATCCTACAAATCCAAAATATGATGTACAATGCCGATCAAATCCTGCTCTTTACACTCGATGTAATGTTTATTGGATGGGAACATGGTATACAGATAGTCTTAAGTTAATACCTCGTTTGATGATACGTGATGTTTATAAAGCTATAGATTCAAGAGAGGATAAAAAAGAATTTGGTCTTACAACTGAAATTGTACATATTCATCGTGGTTTTGCAGATAAATTTTCACCTCAACACTTTAAAATGCTTTGTCTTACTTATCAACGTATTTTTAATGAAAAGAGTAAATCTATTGTGGAAAGTTTGGCTCGTCTACAAAGTGGTGTATCTAAACTAGATGAAGCTCAAGAAAATGTAGATAAAATTGCCTCAGATGTGGCGGATAAAAAAACTTTAATGGAAACAAAACAACGTGAGGCAGATGAAGCATTACAACAAATTCAATCCAATATGGAAGAAGCAGGTGATCAAAAAAAGAATATACAAAAAATTCAAAAAGAACTTGATAAGGAGCAAAAAGCTATTGAAGAGCGTAAACGTGTTATTGAGGAACGACTTAGTGGAATTCAACCCGTATTGGATGCCGCCCTTGGAGCTGTACGTTCTATTCGTTCTGAACATCTTTCTGAACTAAAATCAATGAAACAACCACCAGCGGCTGTGCAGGATGTGATGGAAGGAGTTATCATTCTCACAGAAGGAGGCCAGAACGCTGAGACTAATTGGGCAACTATTCGAAAAATCCTTGCTGGTGATATTAAAGGACAGATATTAAATCTCGATCTTGATAACGTAAATGAGGGAGTTCGTAATAAAGTAGAACGGTTTATACAAGCACATGCCAATTCTTTTAAACGTGAAGTGATTGGTCGTGCCTCCAAAGCCGCAGCTCCCATGGCAGAATGGCTGAAAGCCGTCGTGGAGTACAGTAAAGTACTCGAAACGGTTGCGCCTATGCGGGAAGAACTTAGAGGTTATGAAGCCAATCTGAAAAGCGGTAGTGAAAAGAAGAAAAAATATGAAAGTAAACTTTTAAAGGTAGAGGATAAGGTAGATAAATTGAAGAAAGATTTTGCTGAAAAGACGAAAGAAGCAGAAAGGTTAAAAGATCGTTTAGAACAAGCAGAAAAACTTTATAATAGTGCTCATGATCTTCTTGGAAAACTTGCGAATGAACATAATAGATGGAGTGAACAAAGTAAAGCTATATGTAATGATCAACGTTTGTTACCAAAACGTTGTTTACTTGCTGCAGCATTTATTCTTTATTTGGGTAATGAAGCTGAAGATGTTCGATCTCAAACTATGAATGCATGGAAGGAACGCTTAAAACAACTTGATGATTTTAATTTTTTTACTTTTATGCGTCCGGAGAGTATGCAATTACATTATAAAGCAGAAGGTTTACCAGGTGATGAACTTTCAATGGATAATGCTGTATTAATACAAGAACAAGTTTCAACACCATTGATTATAGATACTTCTGGTCAAGCTCTTAATTGGCTTTTAAATAATTTAAAAAGTAGAGGAGTTTCCGTTGAAGTATCTAGTATTTCAGATGGACGTCTTGTCTCAACATTAGAGTTAGCTCTTCGATTTGGTAAGAGTTTTATCTTAACAGATGTAGATGTTTTAGAACCTTTTATGTATCCTTTATTCCGAAAAGAATTACGCACAGAAGGTACAAAACGTGTTATTCAAATAGGTGACCGTCGTACCGTAGACTATGCAGATGGTTTTCAATTATATCTTATCACTCGTTCTAGTGATTTACGAATTCCTCCTGATGTTCTTAGTTATTTAACGTTGATAAATTTTTCTATAACTTTAAGTGGTCTTGAGGGACAGTTTCTTGGGGCAACTATTCAACATGAACAACCGGAACTTGAAAAGGCAAAATTAGAAGTATTAAAAAAAGAGGAAAAACTTAAATTACAATTATCTGCTCTTGAAGAATCTCTATTAAGTGATTTGGCAAATTCAAAAGGATCACTATTAGAGAATAAAACACTTATTGATTCATTAAATGAAATTAAAACACAAGCTGCTGAAATTGGTGAATCTCTTGAAAAATCTAAACAAGTACAAGAAGAAATAGATATTAAACGTAATGTTTATAGACCATTTGCATCCACGGCTAGTGAAACATTCTTTATTGTAAAGAGTCTTAAAGGTTTATCACACATGTATCAATTTTCCCTAAGTTTCTTTATGGGATTATTTCATGATACCTTAAAACGACACACCTCTGATCATACAGATGCTGAAACTAAAATTGAAGCATTAAAAAAGACTTTTATACGTTTTGTAGTTTCATCCGTTTCTACATCACTTCTAAAAGAACATCGTCCAGTTTTTGGTATTTATCTTGCTCGTTCACTAAATCCTAAGGAATGTACCTCTGCGGAATGGGAATTCTTTTTGGATAGAACTATCGCACCAGAGGCTAAAAAGAATGAAATTCATATCCCTACATGGGTTTTACCGGATAGTAAAGATCTTTTCCGTTCCTTTGCTGTATTATTTGATAATTTGGTTAAAAAGATGAACTTACATGAAGCTGATGTTTGGTTACAGTGGATGCGAGCAACTACTCCAGAAACTATGTACCCTAGTTTTATTGAAAAATTAACACATTTTCAACGTCTTCTTATTACAAAAACTCTTCGTGGAGATCGTCTTATCGCTGCGGTAAATCGAGTGGCATGTGAATTATTAGGCGTTAAATCATGGGGAGATAATAATACACTTTCATCTTTTATTAACCACACTGAAGCATCTACACCTGTTTTACTTATTACCACAACAGGAGCAGATCCATCACAAGAGCTTCAAGGGATTGCATATCATAAAGTAGGTCGAGAACGATTTCATCAAATTGCTATGGGAGGTGGTCAAACAGAAGAAGCTATTCGTTTATTACGTGTTTGTGCAGAAAAAGGTGATTGGTTATTCTTAAAAAATCTTCACCTTGTAATTCCTTGGGTAACTATATTACAAAAGGAATTTAATATGCTTACACCAGATCCTAATTTTCGTCTATTTCTTACAAGTGAAGCACATGATGAATTTCCATCTACTTTGTTGTCTCAATGCTTAAAGATAACATTTGAAGCCCCACCTGGAGTTCATCAGAATCTTCTACATACATTTAAAGAATGGGAAGTGGGAACTTTTGAAAAAAAAGGTTTACGACAAACCGAACTTATTTTTATTACTGCAGCTTTTCATGCCATTATACAAGAACGTCGCTCCTATGTTCCACAAGGATGGTCTAAGATGTATGAAGTTACTTCTGCAGATCTTAAATCAGCTACAGATATTGTTTTACAACAAATAAATTCTGGTATAGATTGGAGAGCTATTCGTGGTATTTTACAAGATGCTATTTATGGTGCCCGTATGGAAAGTGAATATGACCTTCGTATTCTTAAAGCCTACGCAGATCACTTTTTCAATCCAGAGGTTCTTTCTTCTTCAAAGCGGCAAAGTAATCTTTTCTCTATGGTACGAGTTCCTGGAACAGGAAAACATGTGGATTGTGTAAAAGTAATTTCTGAACTACCGGAAAGTGATGTACCAGAATTATTTTCATTACCACCAAATGCAGATCGTGTTGTACAACTTTCAAAGGTACGTGCATTAACAAATGATCTTCAATGCCTTAATGAATCAAAGTTAGAATCTACATTAACTCGAGAAGAATGGACAAACCGATTAGTACCCATTTTAGATACATGGGGAGAGTTAACACTACCTAACTCAGATATTCTTACTCATTCCGCACATGTATCTCATGGGGTAGTATCCCCTGTTCTTGGTTTTGTGACAGCTGAAATGGCATCTTCACTTCTTCTTGTCTCTCTTGTGGATGAGTCCATGCGTGATCTGCGTAAAGTAACAGAGGGAACGGCATTATTAAAAGAAAATAGACGCGCAGAGGCGGCTGCAATGATTATTGGTGAGGTCCCACCACAGTGGGATGGCTTTTTTCACGGTCCCACTCGTATTTTACCATGGCTTCAGTCCCTTTTAAGTCGTGCCACAACAATTGCATATTGGCGTCGTTTGGCTGAATCTAATGAACTGCTCCAAACCACACTTAACATATCAAGTCTATTCCGTCCACAGACATTCCTCCACGCACTTCGACAAGAGACAGCACACTCTTTGCATGAACCACTCGTTTCACTGAAACTTGTCACTTCTGTCTCATCACCACCGGCTGGGGCATCACTTGCGGTGTGTCTTGAGGGACTCTTATTGCAGGGCGCCGTTCTTGACCAAGCGGATATTCTGCAGCCTGTTGAAACAGCGGATGAACCGGCATTGTTCCCTATGCCAAAAGTTTATCTTGCTTGGATGTCAAAACCACCAGAAATAAGCACCTCTGTTACTGTTCCCATGTATATTAATACAACGAAAGAAAACTTCCTCGTGGAATTGGTGTTGCCTTGTGCCAGTGATGTTGCCAAAAGAGGGTTTATCCTCTCAGGTATTTCAATCTTTCTTGAACCGTAAGTAGGGGAAAGGTTATCTTATTTTCCCTGAAGCAAGAAGAGTAGAAAGAAAAACAATCTGTTTTTTATGTAAGATGTTTTTCTTTTTCTTTTTGTTTTTTCTTTTTTGTTTTTGTTTGTATTGTTATTTTTTTGTTTTTGTTTTTGGTATAGTAAAACAAGAAGGTACAAACGCATCTTGAATTTTGTAGTACCACTTATTTTTCGAGTGAGGGTTTCATATATATATATATATATATATATTTGTGATTCTGGTTCCATAATTGTTTTAGAGGGACTATATGGGGGATTGGGGTTGGGATATAGCGTTCTTGTTTTTTTTTTTCCTTTGTAAATTGTGGTATGTATACATATATATATGTATCTTGTCGTTACCCCCGTTTCCTTAGGTCTTTTTTTTTCTTTTTTTTCTTTTTTAAAATGATCTTGTCATAGCAATGTATGGAGATGCAGGGGCTCCAAAGAAGTATAGCACCCCTCGTGGCGTTGATGAAAAGTCCGTCTCAGCACGTGTGTGTCAGAAGTGTGCATCTACAGACCACTGGACGTTTGAATGCAAGAGCGGAGCTCACACTCCACGCAACACCACAACAACGCGGCTGAGTAGAACGCAGATGCTGCGTTTTGGAATAAAGCAGAAACGGGAGGAATTTGTACCGGAACCAACAGAGAAAGAGGCGTACATGGCACAGGTGAAGGAGGTTGAGAAACTGCTCTTGGCTGAAGCAAAGGGGCAAGCAGTGCAGAAGAGACGAGTGGAGCAACGGAGAGAAGTAAAAGATGAAGACATCAACAGTGAAAGAGAACAAGATACAAAAAGTGAAGACGACGATAATATGTTGGTGAAAACGGAGAAGAAAGAAAGTGATGAGTAAAGAATATAAGGTAAGAGTCGTATTACTTTATAGTGACATGCTTTTCTTTCTCAGAAAATCATTATCCCAAGGATATAGAGGTATCTTTTTTCTTTAGCTTTTTTGTTCCTTTTTTTTTTTTCCTTTCTTGTTATATCCTTCTATGTTTTTTTTTTTTTTTTTTTTTCTTCCATAGCCGTTCGCGGCAAAAAAAAAAAGCAAACAAATAAACCGAATAGGAATGATACGTCGTCCGCAATATAGGGCCAAATGGTCTCGGATGAAGCAGTTGATGATGGCAGTGCTGGTGCTGTGGTTGCTTCTTCTGCTCCTTGCTGATTATCGTCTCACACACCCACCAAAGCGTATGGCTTCACCACCGCATGATGATACAATCCCAAGAGATGAGATTGTACCTAATACTGTAATCCCAAGAGATGAGATTGTACCTAATACTGTAATCCCAAGAGATGAGATTGTACCTAATACTGTAATCCCAAGCGATGTGACTGTACCGCCAGAGTTCGTTGAGGCGCTGCAGGCGTTCGAGCAGAACCTCGCCGTCGTGGATGGGCTGCAGGGAAATCCCGATCAGCCAACGCACGACTTCACAGACATCATCGAAGTCCCCGGCGCCGGAACGCCGCTCCCGCACGATCCCACACGCACCGCAACCGCACGGGAGTGGGAGGCCTGCGACCAGCGCGACGCGGACTTCACCCCCGAGCGTGATGCCCTCTGCCAGGCGTATCTCAGCAATCTTAACAATATGCGGTATATTAAGGCCATGTCCTCACTACTAACACAGGGACGGACAATCAAATTCAAACTGCGCTACGCACACAACAATATTGAGGCCATCGTAAAGGTTTCACAACAGAAATTTTTCTTTGAGGCCACTAGTGAGTATTTGGCATTCGCTGTTGATCGAGCACTAAATTTTTCACGTATACCAACATCTGCCTTTGTGCCACTTCCATTAGATTACATGAAGGTAGCTACAGCCTATTCAGCGTTATTTTCACAATGGATAGAACGTTTTGTTTTTCAATACAACTACACAAAGCGTAATTTTGTTCCTTGTAGCTATCCAACAGATAATCAACCAAAAGTATCCTTGTGTGCTCATGTGACTATACAACTTTGGATGTATGACGTTCACTCTGCTCTCACAACGTTCCTCGCTCTTCCATATGAATTAGACAATGCGTTTATAGCGAAATATTATACTCCTGGTCACAGACTTTGGCCACCGAAAAATTCACGTCTTCGTGCTATTGGTGATGTACATGATCGTTCAATTTTTGATTTCCTTATCGGCAATACAGATCGAGGAATGAATAATCATAATAATTTTGTATACGGTGGATGTAGTAATAGGACGACATGTAGACGACCTCCAAAGTCAGAACGTATAAAAGGATTAGCAAAATATGCTTTTATTGATCATGGAAGCAGTTTTTACTCACATAGGGAACCAAAAGATAATGCTTTTTTTGGAGAGATAGACCGTATACCTATTTGTCGTTTCCGGCGGTCTACTTACACGACGATGTCTAACTTTAGAGAAGCTGATCCCTCTAATCCTCAGTATCCGCTTGTTATGCATATACGCAAAAGTTTATCACCTTTCATATTTCGTGTAACACATCTCTCTGTCTTTCAAAAGATACAAACACGTTTAGAAAAAATTCTAAACATTGTTGAGCGCTGTTTGCAGCGTCATACTCCTTTGGAAGTGTTTAGCCTTCCATCTCATTGGGAGATTTCAATTCCTGAAGAACTAATTGACGTTGAAAACCCTTCTACTCCAGATAATAGAGATGAAGTGGAAAATGCAGCTGAGGTGTAGCGTGACACTTTTAAAACAACAAGAACAAACAATATTTATTTATTTATTTATTTATTTATTTATTTAATGAGTGTATATGTACAATAATATGAACTGTGTGTGTGTGTGTTTTTTTTTTTTTTTTGAATATTGCAGCGAAAATAGCTATGGCAGTGGGGTGGTGTGGTGTGTGTCTCTCTGTGTGTGAGAGAGTTACATTTCACCTCTCTGGTGTAAAATAGTTTTTATTTTCCTCTCTTGTACACTCGCGGTTTTTACCCTTTCTGAATTTTCTTACGAGAGATACATGCATAAATACGTTCGTACGCACACTCACAGAAGCATACTAAAAAAAAAAAAAGACAGAGGGAGTAGATACATGTACTTTTTCATCCTTTACTACATCATGTGAATACCTTTCTCTTGTAATGACCAAATATGTGCTTTCAAAATTCATTCCCACACAATTGTGACATTATTATTATTATCACTGTTATTATTATTATTATTATTATTATTAATCTTTTTTTTTATTTGTTTAAATGAAGTAACTGGCCTTGAGGATGATTCAGTCATTATTATTTGTTTTTTTTTTTTTTTTTTTTTTTTCTTTCCATTGCTCTCTACAAGAACTGTTGCTCGTTTAAAATCAATCCTTATAGAGAGAAAAAAGGGATCCTATTTAGACATAGTGTAGGTACATATTTTATACATAGAGGAGCTGACACTCGCGAAACTGAGTAAACACCGCCATACCTTTTTTTTTTTTTTTTTTGAGTTGTATAATTATACATTTGCTTATCTACTAGAGGTGGGAAGGAACACGCATATTCCCCATCTATACATCTATTACTAACAATATGGACGTTAATTCTTTAGAAGAAAAAGTACGTCGTAAGGAAGTCCTAGAGCTCCAAGAAATGCGCTTACTTTTAAGTACCGTGATGGATATTCTCATTGATGAAAGTAATGTGCCGAATGTGCCATTACCGGTTACAATATGTGGTGATATTCATGGTCAATTTCCAGATCTTTTACACCTTCTCGCTCTTGCGGGAGAGATTGGTGCAACGAGTATGCACTATGTCTTTCTAGGTGACCTAGTAGATCGTGGATTTAATAGTGTAGAAGTGTTTACTTTCTTACTTGTGATGAAAGTAAAGTACCCACGCAAAATAACTCTCATTCGTGGCAACCACGAGACACGCCAGGTGACGGCAACCTACGGTTTTTACGATGAGTGCAATAGAAAATACAACACTACAGAAGTATGGCGACACTGTACGGAAGTGTTTGATTGCATGCCAATTGGAGCTCTGATTGAGGGTCGGGGGTTATGCATTCACGGAGGTCTATCGCCGCAGGTGCGGACGGTTGATCATATTCGATTACTTCATCGCCAACAGGAAATCCCAAATGAAGGCGCTTTTGCAGATCTTGTTTGGTCCGATCCTGGACCTGGCAATGGATGGGGTGTCTCTCACCGTGGTGCTGGACACTTGTTTGGTGCTAATGTTGCTCGCGAGTTTATGTACCGCAATGGGCTTAACCTCTTAACGAGAGCGCATCAGCTGGTACAGGAGGGGTTTACATACCATTTTGATGAAGAATACGTGTGTACTGTGTGGTCAGCACCAAACTACTGTTACCGATGCAATAATTTAGGGAGTGTTCTCCGAGTGCATGAGGATGAGTCACGCGAGTTCGTTGTATTTAATCATGTGGATCAACAATATGATGATGATGATCCTGAACAGATGCACCCTATTTATTTCTTGTAGTTGAAACCAAAGATTATCACCTTCTCTTCTTGTACAGAGTGTTTTCTTTTTTTTTTTTTCTTTGATTTTATTACTTCTTATTTTGTTGTTGTTTGCGTGTATGCTATGATATTTTGCTTTTCAAGAAATACATAAATGAATTTCAGTAGATGGTTTCCTCTCCTCACTTCCTCTTTAACGAATATATATATATTGTACTTTTTGAAATTATAGTGGAATATGTAGCATTTTATTATTATTATTAATATTATTCTGTTTATTTTTTCCTTGATATTTAGTCAAATTTTCATATGTGGCTCTTGTTGTAGTGACGTTTGCTTATTATCGCAAGTGGTGTATCTTGCGGTTGTACTTGTAGTTCATGTTCCATTTCCTGTGGTGCAAATTAAAAACGAGGTAAATTTTCTTCTTCCCAGCACTGCCATTCGGACTATGGAATGACACCCTCCAGACCCATACACTCTTTCACACGTGATGTTTTGTGCTGTGGAAATACAGAAGGTAATTTATTTACCGAAAAAAGAAAGGTATGATTGCAATTTAAATGATCTCATTGTTTCAGGGTTGCAAAAAAAAAAAAAAAAAAGTAACAACAACAACAACAACAACACCAACACCTCCTTCATTGGTGATTTCAGCAAATATAGGTTATCATTATTAACTCTCAAAGGGGGGCAGAAAAGGTGGCAAAAAAAAAAAAAAAAGAAGCAGGAATTACACCAATTTCAAAATGGGGATATACTTCATTGGTTTTTTTTTTCTTTTTTCTTTTGGTTCTATTCAACTTATTTCGTTTTCTCCTCGACTAATTTCTGAACAGTGGATTATTTTTCACCTATTTCAAGAATCGAAGGACAACAACAACAAAAAAAAAAAAAATTGATTTATATTCATTATGTTATTATGGTTTCTTATTTTCAAATCATCTTTCTCTGTTTCTTTTTTTTTTTTCTGTTTATATGTAATATGAGTTCACTGAAGGTGGAGTCACATAATTGCCATGACATCTTCACAGGTACTTGAACTTGCGAAGGACTCATCACTGGTGCTCGCACGGGATGTGAGTTTCCCGCAGGACGAAGTACGTGCGGCATTCGAAACCATTCGCGCCGCGGAGGAAGATCATTACAGTGTGTTGTACACCGTCACGGGAAGAGACGACAAGAGCAGAAACTGGATGGCGGTTCTCTGTCGCGGTATGCATGAGGCCGCGAAGATGCAGGAGACCTTTGACGGCAGTAGTCATGTCGACGTCTACGCGCTGCAGAAATCAAATGTTTCCATCGCGGCTGTTGCCTCATCGCCACGACACTCGCGGCCTTCACTGCGGCCCGCCGCCCCGCTGTTCCTACGGGAATATTCCGTCGTGACCCGCCAAGAGGCCGAGACGCGAGCCGCCAGCAGCGCCGTGGCTCCACCAACACCTCCCGTGAAGGCAGAGGAACCAGAAAAAGTACCGGAAATAAGTACGGTGAATCTGCGGGAAGAGGCGCCAGTTACACGTGTGAGTTTAACAGCGATGGAAGTAGTGGCACCATCTATTAAGGAGGTTCCAAAGCAAGAGAAGGTAAAAGAATTACCTAAAGAATCTGCAGAAAAAAAGAAAAAACCACCATCACAACAACAAACACTCTTTGGGAGTATGTTGGGTGGTGAAAAGCATGCACGGGACTCTACTGTATCCTCAACTAAGACAGAACCAAAGACAAAAAAATCCCGTTCTGCAAAGGCAACTGATGAAAGTAAAAATAAAAATACCACAAGTCTTTTGAAACTTGCCAAGGCCTCAAAGAAGAATAAAGTTAATACACAAGATCGAACAATAGCTAGTAATAATACTACTACTAATATTGATAATAATAATAATACTGACCCTAAAATCACCTCAACTTCTCGGTCTAACGGACTAGGGCTTCTTGACGAGGACGAAGAGCATGATAACAATAATGGAAACAGTAGCAATAGTGAAAAAAACAGCAGAAGTAATTCCTATCTTCGGGAAATGGAATTTATGAATGAGGAACCGCAAAATCTTGATATAGTAGTTACTGCTGTAACGAATGATGATATCATTATCTGTGATGATGCGCCACCGATGGTATTTTGCGCTCCTGAAGCTTCTATTTCTCCATTAAAAAAAGAACAGCAACAACAAAAAAAATGTGATGCTGCTGTTAGCCTTGATCAACCCAAACTTACCGGTTTTTTTCACCCAGATGTTGGAATTTTTCAGAATACATACGTTCTTGAAGTGAAAACTGAGACTGTATTTGAGAATGATGAGTATATTTCAAGGGATGTAGTGTACTACCGTCACAAGGAAAATGGAGAACTTATTTCTGAAGAGGAGTTTCATAGACGTAGCATAGAAGTGTCGCGAAAAGTTTGTGAAAACGCACAAAAAACAAATTCCACTAATGGTAGCCTCAGTGATGCCCCTTCTCCGGCTGCCGAGTGTAATGAAAGAACATTTATAGAAGCCGCAAGAAATAGTAAACCACCAAAAATTGAGAGATTATTACGTTCACAACCAAAGACACTTATGTCTTACTTTAAATCTGCTTCATCGTAACAGGTTGATGATTAACGAAAAAGAATCATAGATAATTGAATGATAGAAAAAAAGAAAAAAATCCCCTTATCCAATAATTTTTTTTTTTTTTTTTTATGGTTGGGGTCTGTTCTTCCTTTCCATGATTACATCAAAGCGCAATGATATGGTAATAATGATAGTAAATAGTAATAATATTTGTTGGTTTTTGAATCTATTACTTCTTTTTTTTTTTTCTTTCTTGTTGCAGAAACCTTTTTTTTTTTTTTTTTTTTTTTTTTGAGATTCTGTTCCTTTGGAAAGGAATGCTTCGTAGATGAATAAGCAATTGGTGCAGACGCTTCCCTTAGCGAAAGGAAAAGACATTCATAATAGAGTAGCAAAGTTAGCTTTATACAAGGAGTGTATTGCTCTTGCCATGAGTGTTGCCGATCCTCTTGTACGACAGCACACGTTGGCGGAAGTGCGGGAGAAATGGACCCGCAGTCGCGGTGACGGCGGGCAGACGCTGCAGTTGCAACTCGCCAGTGCACTCGACCGCATTGCGTACGGCCGCATGTGCGTCTCAAAGCAACGCCTGCGTCTTCTCCCCAACGCGAGCGGGCGGTACGACTGGGGCGTCGTCAACCCCCTGCAGCACCACGAGCAGCGCATCCAACAGCGCGCGGAGAAGACGAGTCCCGATGCCTTTCCGCACGGCGCGGGGAAGCGGGACTTTGTGCCCATGACGAACTGGGGCTACGGCAATATGGACCCCGATGCCGTCATGCGGCATAAGGAGTTGACCGACCGCCAACATTTTATGGGGCCACACTGGCGCAATAAACCCAAACCAATGGTTTTAGAGGACCTCAGTTTCGAGGAACAGTTGCATGTTCAGTTTCAGAGCAAGCCAAAAATGAAGAAAACACCAAAAAAACATTACTGAAGAAAAAAAAA